AGAGCTACCCTACAACCCAGCAATTACACTGCTGAGAATTTACCCCCAATGTACAAATGTAGTGACCCAAAGGGGCATGTGCACCCCGATGTTTATAGTAGAAATGTCCACAATAGCCAAACTATGGAAAGAGCCTAGATGTCCATCAACAAATGAATGGATAAAGAAGATGTGGTATACATATACAATGGAATACTATGCAGCCATCAAAAAATCCCGGAAATCTTGCCATTTGCAATGATGTGGTTGGAACTAGAGGGTATTATGCTAAGCGAAATAAGTCAATCAGAGAATGACAATTATCATATGATCTCTCTGATATGAGAAATTTGAGAGGCAGGGAGGGAAAAACGAAACAACATGGGACCGGGGAGGGAGACAAAGCATAAGAGACTCTTAATCTCGGGAAACAAACTGAGGGTTGCTGGAGGGGAGGGGAGTAGGAGCGATAGGGTGGCTGGGCGATGGACACTAGGTAGGGTATGTGCTATGGTGAATGCTGTAAATTGTGTAAGACTGATGATTCACAGACCTATATCCCTCAAACAAATAATACATTAAAGTTAATTAAAAATTTTTAAAAATAAATAAATAAATAAATAAATGGGCAGAGGTGGGGCACCTGGCTAGCTCAGTCAGTTAAGTGTTCAACTCTTGATTTCAGGTCATGCATCTCAGGGTCATGAGACTGAGCCCCATACTGGGCTCCACATTGGACATGGAGCCTACTTAAGATTCTCCCTCTCCCTCTGCCTTGCTGTTTACAGCAGTATTACTTACAATAGCCAAGATATGGAAGCAACCCAAGTGTCCATTGATACACAAATGGATAAAGATGCGGTACCAAAAAGTGTGGTATATATGTATATTTATATACATACACAGTGGAATATTACTCATAAAAACTTACCATTTATGACAACATGGATGGACCTAACAGGTATTATGCTAAGTGAAATAAGTCAGATGGGAAAAAATAAATACCGTATGATTTCACTTACATGTGGTATCCGAAAAAACAAAACAAACAAACAAACAAAGCCCCAGACTCTTATTAAATACAGAGAACAACTTGTAGCTGCCAAAAGGGAAGTGGATGGGTGGGTGGATGGGCAAAATAGGTGAAGGGACTTTAAGAACAAACTTCCAATTACAAAATAAGTCACAGAGATGAAAAGTACATTAAAAAGCACAGAAAACACAGTGAATAATATTATAACAACACTGTACGGTGTAGGCGGTGACTACACTTACTGTGGTGAGCAGTGAGTAATGTACAGAATTGTCAAATCACTATGTTGCACACCTGAAACTAATGTAACATTGTTGGTCAACTACATTACAAAAATTTTTTTAAATGAAAAAAAAAAGCTGTGGTATATATATATACACACACAATCGAATGTTATTCAGGCATTAAAAAAAGGAAACCTGCCATTTGTGATAACATGGATGAACCTTTAAGGCTTTATGCTAAGTAAAATCAGAGAAAGACAAATAATACAGGATTCACCTAGACATAGAATCTTAAAAAAACAAAAACAAAAACCTTGGGGTCCCTGGGTGGCTCAATAGGTTCAGTGTCTGCCTTCAATACAGATCATGATCCCAGGGTCCTGGAAACCTGTCTGCATTGAGCTTCCTGCTCTGGAAAGAGTCCGCTTCTCCCTCTGCCCCTCCCGCTGCTCATGCTCGCACGCTCTCTCTCAAATGAATAAATAAAATCTTTTAAAAAATAAAATAAAAATAAATTTAAAAAAACAAAACTCATAGAAAAAGAGGTCAGACTTTTGATTACCAGAGGCAGAGGGTAGGGGGAAGAAAAATTGGAAGAAGTTGGCAAAAGGTACAAACTTCCAGTTAGATAATAACCAGTACAGATGTGCGTTACACGATGACTAGAGCTAACATGGCTGTATGATACACAGAAAATTTCAAGTAAATCCTGGGAGTTCTTATCACAAGAAAATTCCCCCCCCCTTTTTTTTCTTTTTATTGTGCCTATATGAAAAGATGGATGTTAACTGACCCACTGTGGTATTCACCGGGTTATTAGGTTAAGACAGTCTGCCTTTGGCTCAGGTAAGGCTCAGGTGATGATCCCAGAGTCCTGGGATCAAGCCCCATGTTAGGCTCCCTGCTTCTCCCTCTCCCGCAGCAGCTACCCCTGCTTGCTCTCTTTCTCTCGCTCTTTTTCTTGTCAAATAAATAAATAAAATCTTAAAAAAAAAAAAAAAAGTTAAAAAAAAACTCAACCAGGACGCCTGGGTGGCTCAGTTGGTTAAGCAGCTGCCTTCGGCTCAGGTCATGATCCCAGCGTCCTGGGATCGAGTCCCACATCGGGCTCCTTGCTCATCGGGGAGCCTGCTTCTCCCTCTGCCTCTGCCTGCCATTCTGTCTGCCTGTACTTGCTCTCTCTCCCTCTCTCTCTCTGACAAATAAATAAATAAAATCTTTAAAAAAAAATAAAAAATAAAAAAATAAAAAAAAACTCAACCTTCGTTACATGCAAATCAAGCCATCATGCTATATCCCTTAAACTTATATAGTAATACATGTCAATTCTTTCTCAATAAAAATGGTGGGAAAAAAGTTAATGCCAATAAAGGTGTAATTTTTATTCCCATATAACTTCACAGCCCCCCGGGTTTCTGTTCAAGGATCCCTAGGTTAAGAACCTCCAATAGCAGCTACGGTTATGATGAGTTTAGCATAAGGTACAATTGTCGAAAATCACTATGGGGGCGCCTGAGTGGCTCAGTGGATTAAAGCCTCTGCCTTCAGCTCAGGTCATGATCCCAGGGTCCTGGGATCGAGCCCCAAATCGGGCTCTCCGCTCAGTGGGGAGCCTGCTTCCCCCTCTCTCTCTGCCTGCGTCTCTGCCTACTTATGTTCTCTGTCAAATAAATAAATAAAATCTTAAAAAAAATCACTATGTTGTACACCTGAAACTACTGTGACATCATATCAACCATACTTCAATTAAAAAAAAAAAAAAGGCTAAAAAGGGGCACATGGGTGGTTCAGTTGGTTTAAGTGTCTGCCTTTGGATTCTGGGGTCCTGAGATCAAGCCCACATCCAGCTCCCTGCTCAGGAGGGAGTCTGCTTCTCCCTCTCCCTCTGCCTGCTGCTCTCCCTGCTTGTGCTCACTCTCGCTCTTCAAATAAATAAATGGAATCTTTAAGGAAAAAAGGTCAAAAAAATTTTTTAAATAAAATAGAAATTAAAGCTGATTTTAAACAGGAAAAAAGAAAAGGAAAAAAGCCTCTACTCTAAACTCAAGAGTTACCTCAAGCTTAATCCTGGGTAACCTCCTATTCTCTAAATGGACTCTCCCTAAGTTCTTGAATTTAAACACCATCTATATACAGATGATGAAAAAATTTATATATGTATATCCAATCTTTCTCAAGAACTGCACACTCTTGCAGCCGAATGCTCACTTACTGTCTCCACTTGGATGTCATCACCAAGATCCATAAAATGCACCCCCTGACGGTTTCCCTTTACACTAACACAAAAAGCAAAATTCCATGGAAGCCTTGAATGAACCGGCTCCTCTCCGAACTCTTCTCATACTGTTCTCCTCACCATTAACCTGCCACCCCCAGTGACCACCCGCCAGCCATACTGGTGCCTTGCTCTTCTCTGTATGGGCCAACACATTTCCCAGCTCAAAAACTTTGTACTTCTCCTTCTGCTACTGGGAACTCACTCCCAGTTCTTTGTGAGGCTGGCTGGACCCCATCCTTCAAACCTTGGCTCAACCATCTGGTCTTTGCTGGCCACTTACCAACCTAGAGAACTTTTCCAACTCCTACTCCCATTGCACTACTTACTTTCAATCCCATCAACCTCTTTTTTTTCTTTCCTTCAGAAACACTTACAGTAATCTATAATTATCTTGTTTCCTGTTTTTAAAGATTTTATTTACTTATTAGAGAGAGAGAGCACAAGCAGGGGAAGAGGGAGAGGGAGAAGCAGGCTCCCCACTGAGCCAGGAGCCGGATGCCGGGCTTGATTCCAGGACTCTGGGATAAGCATAAGTGCCGTGCTCCACTGTCCACCGCAGTATTCCCAGTGCCTGAGACAGTGTCTGGCACTTTTGGAGCCTCAATAAATGAATAAACGATAAGTGGTCCTTCACTCTAACACAGAGATGTTTGTTCTAAAGTTTCTCCCTGGGTGAACTTTTGGTATGTGGTAGCACTGAATAGGGGTATGAAAGGATCCCCCTTTATTAAACCTCCGGACACCACATCCAACAGCAACAGGCCAAACAAACCCCAGAATTCCATGGGTTTCCTATTTTGACCCAGCAAAAGGTAAAACATTCTAAAATAAAAGGTCCACAGGCTTTCACCAAGTGGCTTCGCTGAGCAGACAAGGAAATGCAGGACACAGAACAAGGGCAGTGCTTAATCCTGAAACAGTAGAGACCTGGACTTTCCATTCCCAAAAAGAAAACCCAGAATATGTTTCCATTGCCTGCTGATGCGATCCCAACCCAGTCAACTTTCTGGGTACTAAACTCCTACTTCCAGATGCCTACTGGAGATTTCCATCTGAGTTCCATGAGCCCTTCAGATTCCTACTTCGGACTAAATTCTGTCCTTCCCCTCCCTCTTAAAGCAGCTGCTGCTCTTCCTCCTTCTGCACTCCCCTTCCCAGAGAAATGATATTATCATCTACCATCAGCCTCGATAGGAAAGACATCCTGACCCTCAGTTCCTAAATTCAATCGGTTACACTGCCTCCTGAACAGCTCTGGATCTATTCTCCGTTCTTCACGGCACTGCCCCTGACCTGATCGATGCCTAACCAACCCGCTGACATTAATTTCTCTATCTCCAACTCTTCGGGGGATGGCTCTTCCCCTGGAGAAGGAACCACTACTGCTTACGCGGAGGACCCTCGGGCATCTCCGCGCACAGCCCTCCTGGCTCACACCTTGCGAAGCCGCTGGAGCGGCCTGGTCCTCCGGCTCCCCGACCCGTACCTTGGCAGGGTTGGTCAAGACCTCCTTCATGTACTCGGCTACAGTGATGGGACCAGTTGCCTTGATTTTGTATATAAGGTGCCGCAGCATTGGTGTCACCTGGTTTTCTGCCGGCTCTCTCCCGGAGCTGAAGTATTTCCCCCTCCAGAGACGGGGAAGAACTACGAAAAACAAGTAAACGGGACCACGAAAACATCTTAGTATTTGCAAGTGCAAGCAGCCTGAGCGCTTTCGAAACTGCTGCACGGACTCTTAAGCTCGCCCGAAGCACGGAAAGCCGACTCCCGGCCCGACCGCCGCACTCCCTACGAGGAGCCGGCAAGCACGCGCAGCGCCCACGGCCACACAGGCGCTCTCGGTCTGAGGCTGGACTCGGCTGCCGCTCGGAGCGCCTCAAGTGGCCCCCAACTGAGGGAGGCGTCTCAGGCGCTTCCCCCCACAAGCGGAGCTCCGGCGTGGCGAACGCTTACCCGCCCGAGCAGCCGCGCACAGCGGCCCCAGGCCGCCGCTCCTAGCAAGAAGCCTCATGCCGCACCTCGCAAGACGCTGCCCGGGGGCGGGGCGGGGTGGTGAAGCCATTTCCGGGGGAGGACACGCCCCTGCCAGCAGTACGTCACCCTGCCAAGCGGAAGGAGACTGTGGGCCGTCTGCGCGTGCTTTGCTGGTAATGGCGGCCTCCAAGAAACCTTTGGAGTTCCACGCCAAGCGGCCCTGGCGGGGAGAGGAGGCGGTAGAAGATCCGGACGAGGACAGCGAGGAGGATCAGGATGACGCCGAGAATGGGTTCTCTCTGGAGGAAGTATTACGGCTCGGAGGCACCAAGGTAATGGCCTCGGACTCGCGGACAAGGGGACAGATGCGCGAGGGGTGGTTTCACTAGCGGCCCCGCAGCCCCTGAGCCGGAGCGTGGGAGAGCGTCCTGCACCCAGATCCCAGCTTCGAAGTGTGCGGTGTGCGCTTCCAGCTCTTCTTTCCCACTGCTTTTTACAAGGGAAGGGTCCTTTGGAATTGAACGTTTTTATGGTGTGGCCTTTGTTAGGACCCTCTCATTTCACTGATTTATAACTGGCACTCCATCAGGTCGGCGAAGACTGACCTTTCGGGGTCCTGACGTCGTGGCATCAGTGTTCCGAACTCCAGTGTTGTTGGATTCTTAACTTCTGTTCTCACGCAGTACACGCACATGTTTACGCTCTAGAAGCCCTCTGCTCTCGTGGAATTTACGTTCTACGTAAGGGAAACAATCAGTAATCAGACTTTTGAATATTGTGTATCAGATGCTGAGCGGTGCCACGGAGAAGAAAACAAGATAATCAGTGTGAAGGGCGTAAGAGTTTTAAATGAGGTTATCGGGGAAATCATTGAGATGTCTAGGAAGAAAACTGTAGGAAAGAAAGGAGTGAGCGAGCCATCTCTGAGCAACAAAAATGTCAATGTAGCTGAGACAGAATGAGGTAAGGGGAGAGTAATAAATGAAGTCAGAGGTAAAATATAGGCCTTCCTCTGAGTTTGATGCAAAACCTTAGACGATCTGGAGCAAGTACGTGATGGAATTTAGCTTACTTTTTTAGCACGTGTTTTGAGACTGTGGGTGGGGAGAGCGGTAGGGGCAGGAGAAATGCAATTTACAGGGGCAGATTCACAGTTTGCACTGTACTTGTGTTGTATTTACTTTTTGAATAGGCGATATTTCACATACTACAAAAAAGTTCTTTTAAAAAAAAGTTCTTTCACTTTTGATGAAAAGTCTTCTTTCCCACTTTATCTCTAGCCTTGCAATTACTAGCCAAAGCAAGTATTTTTGTGTCTTTTATATCTTCCAAACAAACACACATGTATGTTATTTTTTACACAAAAGGTACTATACTGTCTGATATTTTGTGTATATTTTTTCTTGCTGTCTTAAAGATTCTTCTATAACATTATATAAAGTTATGTCGTTGGTTTTATGCCTGCATAAATCATTGTTTTAATCTAGCCAGCCATTTGTTGTAGATGTTTAGGTTGTCAGTCTTTTGCTATTTTAATGCTGCAGTAAATGACCTTGAAAATAGATCTTTTCCCATATTTGTGAACATATATATAATCTAAATTGATAGAAATGGAACTGCTGGATCAAAGGATGTGTGTCTTGTATTTTGATTTGAAGGTAACAAGCTGCCCTCCATAGAGGTGCTAGTTTACGTTTCCATCAGCCACGTAGGAAAGTGCCTCTTCCTCCCACTGTCTCCCCAACACCACCTGTCAGTTTTATCTTTTTTATCTGACAGATTAGAAAATGGATGCATCATGGTTTTAATTTGGATTTTTCTTAATGTCCATGAAGTTGAGTATCTTTTCACATTTTTAAAAAATCACTTTTCCCTTTTGAACCTTTTGTTTATATACTTTGCAGATTTTTCAGTTATCACTTCCTTAACTGATGTGTAGGAACTTTCACATTAAATAGTAAGCCCAGTTACTCTGATGTCAACTGACATCAGAGACAACTGCCAGTATTTTTTTCCAATTTATTATTTGTCTTTTGACTTTTGTATGTTTTTTCGTCTGAGAGAATGACAGTTTTACCCATCTTTACCTTTAAGGGCCTGCATTTTATGTCATTAGGAAAGGTTTTCTTTACTCTGAAATTATTTTAATTATGGTGGGCATTCTCCTATTATAGCTTTTTTTTCACATGTGAATCTTTGACTTATCGAGAATTTACATGGTGGTTGGGTGGGAGCTCAGGCAATGTCATGGTAATTGAATTTAATTGATTTTAAAGATGCAGATTTTGTGGTGCCTGGGTGGCTCCGTGGGTTAAGCATCTGCCTTCCTGCTCAGGTCATGATCTCAGGTTCCTGAGATAGAGCCCTGCAGGCATCCTCATCCGCATCCTCATCCAGGGCTCTCTGCTCAGCAGGGGGCCTGCTTCCCCTCTCTGCCTGCCTCTCTGCCTACTTGTGATCTCTCTCTGTCAAACAAAGTCTTTAAAAAAAATAATAAAGATACAGATATTTCAAATTAATTTTTGAAGTTTTTCTAAACTTTGGATTTATAATTTATTTTTTAACTTTCTTATGTTTTAATGCAGCAAGATTACCTTATGCTGGCTACTTTGGATGAAAATAAGGAAGTGGTGGATGGAGGCAAAAAAGGAGCAATCGATGACCTTCAGCAAGGTGAACTGAAAGCATTTATCCAAAATCTTAGTTTGGCCAAGTATGCAAAAGCTTTCTTAGTTGAAGAAGATGAACCAACTAAAAAAGAAAATGCCAGCAAAAAAGAAGCAAGAGTATCTAAAGTAGATAATAAAAAGCAAAATGCAGTACAAAGTGAAAGGACATCACTCGGTAAGGTGAAAAATAAGAAGAAGCCAGAACAACATTCTGATGAGAACACCAGTGTCACCCCAAAAGTTAAGAAAGATAAACAACAGGATATCTTTGAATTTTTTGAGAGACAGACATTGTTACTCAAACCTGGAGGTAAATGGTATGATCTAGAGTACAGCAATGAATATTCTTTGGAACCCCAGCCTCAGGATGTTGTGTCTAAGTACAAAACCTTGGCTCAGAAACTGTATGAGCATGAAATCAACTTATTCAAAAATAAGACAAATAACCAGAAGGGAGCTTCTTCTACCTGGATGAAAACAATTGTGTCATCAGGGACATTAGGGGACAGGATGGCAGCCATGATTCTTCTTATTCAGGATGATGCTATTCACACACTCCAATTTGTAGAAACTCTTGTGAACCTTGTGAAAAAGAAGGGTAGCAAACAGCAGTGCCTCATGGCTTTGGATACTTTCAAAGAATTACTCATTACAGACCTTTTGCCAGACAGCCGGAAGCTACGGATTTTCAGCCAACATCCCTTCAACAAACTAGAACAGTTGGCCAGTGGCAACAGGGACTCAAGAGATAGAAGACTAATATTATGGTATTTTGAACACCAGCTGAAACACCTGGTGGCTGAATTCGTGCAGGTCTTAGAAACTTTAAGTCATGATTCATTAGTAGCCACTAAAACTCGAGCTCTTATTGTAGCTCATGAGCTGCTTTGTAATAAACCTGAGGAAGAAAAGGCTCTTCTTGTGCAGGTGGTGAATAAACTGGGAGATCCTCAGAACAGAATAGCCACGAAAGCCTCCCATCTGTTAGAGACATTGCTCTGTAAGCATCCCAATATGAAAGGAGTTGTATGTGGCGAAGTAGAAAGGCTGCTCTTTCGCTCAAATATCAGCTCCAAAGCGCAGTATTATGCAATTTGCTTTTTAAATCAAATGGTCCTTTCCCATGAAGAAAGTGAATTAGCTAATAAGTTAATTACTCTTTATTTTTGTTTTTTTCGGACTTGTATCAAGAAAAAAAATATTGAATCAAAAATGCTTAGTGCCCTTTTAACAGGAGTAAATAGAGCATATCCTTATGCCCAGACTGGTGATGACAAAGTGAGGGAGCAGGTCGACACACTCTTTAAAGTGCTGCATGTTGTGAATTTTAATACCAGCGTACAAGCTTTAATGTTGCTTTTCCAAGTAATGAATTCTCAGCAGACGATATCAGATCGATACTATGCAGCATTATATAGGTAAGTACATACCACTTCAATAGGTGACTGTGAGGAATAACATGATTTAATAATAATGTGATTTAATACACAACACCTATTGTGCCCCTCTGTGGGGCAAGAAATTTAGAAAACTGGATTTTAGGCCCCCCTCGGCAACTTGCTAATCACCAACCTTGAGTAAGTCATTAATCTTTGTTTTCCTGTTGGAAAACTATGTTACATGTTTTACATACATGATTTTTTTTTTTAAGATTTTATTTATTTATTTATTTATTTATTTATTTGACAGACAGAGATCACAGGTAGGCAGAGAGAGGGGGAAGCAGGCTTCTTGCTGAGCAGAGAGCCTGATGTGGGGCTCAATCCCAGGACCCTGGGATCGTGACCTGAGCCGAAGGCAGAGGCTTTAACCCACTGAGCCATCCAGGTGCCCTAGCATACATACATTATTTTATTTTTTGTTTTGAGAACTTGTTAAAATACAGAAAAATACCCTCCCCCAAAAAAGCATCTGTATCCTGCCACCTAATATTTCAACTTCAACATTCTGCTTTATGTTTTAAATATTACAAATACTAAAAAATGAGAACTGTAAATATAATTGAAGTTTCCTTCACTCTCTTCCCCCTCACTCACATCCTCAGTCCTATATTTCTTCCCCCCTGAACTTCACACAGCCATTTAGTAATGCATTCAGCAGCAGTTTTTTGGGTGCCATCTATATGCTGGACACTTCCAGGTATCTGCATATAGCACTGAACAAAATTCCCACACCTAGAGGTGCTTACATTCATTTTGAGGAAAATGTATGGCAAACAAGAAAATCTCTTAGGGTTAGAGTTGCATTTTTTGGAGTTTTTTAAATTATTGGGATTAAGATTTTGTTCACTGAATTTTGTAGTTGTCCTGACACATACTTATTGAGGGGTGATATTTTGAACATCACTTTGGAACTATTTAAGTATGCCAATAAGCTTTATATTTCCTTCTTATTCATTTTAATAATTTTACATAACATATCTTATGACAAATATAATGTACTGATATCTTGAACTTAAGCCACGGTGCCTGGATTTGAGTCCTAGCCATTAGTTTGCTTTGTAACTTTAGACAAATTATTTAATCCTCTTTAAAATGGTAAACATGATTAATCCCATTTTACTGTGGCCGGTTTGTCTATAAAATGAAGGGGAGTGCCCCTATCCTGTAGGGTTATTGTTACAATTACAAAACCTCCCAAGGTTCCATAGCTAAAAAATTACAAAACTGGGACTTATTACTGAGTTCATGTGTATGTGTATGCAGGTGTTGGCTCCTGCTGTTATTAATATTACTCAGATGAATAGCTTAAGTTTATTCCTGTTAACACTTCTCTAATCTGTGAGGTACAGTAATTTGTACAAATCAGACAGACATGACAAGGCCAAGGTAGGCAGCAAATCCAGGTCTGCGGGCTTTGGGATTTCATGTCTCATGGTGCTGATTGCACTGGTACACCAAAAAGAAAATTTTCATAAAAGTCCTTTCCATAACTCTTTTAAGAGTACAGTTTTCTTAAGTAGTGGCTATTTTAGTTTGGAAAGAGTTCCAGAGCTGAAAATTTAGAGGTTTGGGGATCTCAGAGTTTTGGGGTTTTGTTGTTGTTGTTTTTTTTTGTTTGTTTTGTTTTGTTTTGTTTTTATATATAACTTTTGATGGTCATAAGAACTTTTTGGGCGATGTTTGGAATCCATGTTTAACACAACAGTCTATCTGAGGAGTACATGCTTAAGTTCTTTAAATTATTGCTTGCCAAGAACTCTCACAGATGGATTTCCTCAAATGACATCTAAGCCTTCTTATAGTATTTCTTTTGGTTTTATTAAGAATCATTTAAACAAAATTTCTATAATATTATTTAAAAGATAAAGGAAACATGATTTGGTTTACAAAAATATGATTTATCAAAAATTTCAAGAATGTGTTCTCTGTCAAATGGTGGGGACACACCTATCTAAATTCTCAAATGTTTTAAAAATGAGTTGCAAAATGGATGAAAATGTTGAAAATTTTAAATGTGAAGACAGAAAATTGAATATCAAATATTGAATAATATAGGATGATATGTCAATATCACCAGAGTTATGGAACTAACAAATGGAGGAGAGTGGGTCTGCAGGGCCATATGGAAATGCTTCACAGGGTTACATATTTCCGTTTCTAGTATTAATGGGAAAATGTTAATAGAAGTGCTTAGAATAAGAAGTAGTATTGCACATGAATTTTGTGTTAATTTTGGATTGTGTTAATTTTGGATATCCTAATGTCTAGAGGGCAAAAGCAGTAGGAGCATCTCTAGGATGGAACGACTAGGAAAAGGGGAAATGTCTAAAATTATGTTCAATTCTCTACATGTGTGTTCATTAGAATTATGTGGAAGCCTCTGGTCCAGTCCACTGCTTTCATAGGTCAGTTTTCATTATTTTGTTTTGGATTAGCCTTTCATATGAGGTTCTAGATCTGTATAAAAATTATGCTGGAGAATGGAAAACCCCTGAAAAAGAAAAGAAACCACCAAAAAACGTCTTTCTTCTGTGATATTCCCACTTTCCCCCAAGATCATCATTCTGTCTGTTTTGGTCATTGACTTCCATTTTACATCTTAGGTCTGTTGATCTAATAATAAACAGGAAGATTATCCCTAAGATGAGGTTAGCAGTTGCCTCTACTACTGGTTGTAGAGATATTTTATGAATAAACATTTGATCTTGTTTTTGTTTTACAGGAAGATGTTGGATCCAGGATTGATGATGTGTTCTAGACAAGCCATGTTTCTTAATCTTGTCTACAAATCTCTGAAAGCTGACATCGTATTGCGCAGGGTGAAGGCTTTTGTGAAGAGGTTACTTCAAGTTACTTGTGAACAGATGCCACCATTCATATGTGGAGCTTTATACCTTGTGTCTGAGATCCTTAAAGCAAAACCAGGTTTAAGAAGTCAGCTAGACGATCATCCGGTATATCTTACAACTGCTTTTTAAATCGAGTGGGTTCTGAAATATATTGGTATTTTTCTTCTTTGCTTCAATGACAGTAACTTACTTAGTTCTCTGGAGCGTGAACATGTGTGTGTCCTGGAGTTGGACAGACCTGAATTTTAGTCCCAGGTGTACAGTTTTACTAGGTGGGCATGTTGCTTGACCCTTTTACTCACAGTAAACTGTACTACACTATAATTGTATGAGGTAGTTAGTTACAGAGCCAGTGAATCTCTTAAACCTGTTTCCTCAGTTGTGAAATGGACATAGTAGCACCTACTTCATTGGTTTATTTATATAATACATCAGAAATTTGAGGGCTGAATGTTTTCATGTAAAAAAGTGCCAAAGTTTTGGGGAATTGTGGCTCAAAACTCAATTCTCTTAATTTAGAAAAAAGAAGATGGTGTGTCATAAATTTGATTGATGGAATTTTCATGTTTCACCATTACAGCAACAGGTGGGTCTTCAAAACTGCCTCATATAACTGAATACAGACTTCCAGTTGATTAATGCAAATTTATTAAACCATTGTTTTAGGAGTCTGATGAAGAGAATTTTATTGACATAGAAGATGATGAAGACACAGAAAAATTCACCGATGCAGATAAAGAAACAGATCCAGTAAAAAAAGCTGAGACAGAAGGAACTGTGTCAGACAGTGCTATGGAAACAAAAAAATCAGAGTCTGCTTCTTGGGTGCACTTTGATAATTTGAAAGGTGAGTTTCTTAAATCTTTCAGTTCTTTCGAACTTTTAAACAGGAATTAGATTCTCCTTTGGTCTTTTATTTTTAAGATTTAGGGTTTTTTAGTAATCTGTACCTAGTGTGGGGCTTGAACTCACAAGCTGAAGATCAAAATTTATATGCTCTACTGATGGCCCCCAGCCAGGGCCCCCCCTTTGATCTTAACAGAAATTAACATTATACCATTTTAGAAGTCCTCCATATTCTTTTTTTTTAAGTAGAGCTTTTATAACCAGATGTATTCAGGCACTTAGAAGTAAATTTTTAATATAGTGAATTACTTGTCTACTTATTAACACGTTACATGTTTTAAAGTAATTTTAATCTTAGAAATTAAAGCAGATACCTTTTGGAAATGCAGCCTCTTCATTTGAGCTGTAAAGGAAAGCACACTAAACCTTGGGGATCAAGAAATGTGCCAGATCCATTTCTTCAAACTTACTGTGGAACTCTTGGTCAACTTACTTCATCTCCCCAAACTTCAGTTTGCCTGTGAAGTATAAAAGAGAAGTATGGTAGCATCCAGGAAAAATCCATCAATTTCCCTGAAGACTAAACTGAGAATAGTCCTTTAGAAGGATGATGAACACGTGCATTGTGAAGTAGACAGTTTGTTGTAATGTGTTCTGAAAATTCTTCAAAGATAACATAAAACTTGTTCCAAGTGAGAATTATTCCTGGACATAATTTAATAATAAATATTCAGTGCATTTAAAGTTCTAAAATAATTTAGACCTATTTAATCTTCAGGCTCGTTGCCATTTTAACCCTTATAACCTAATTGACCCAGATTTGGGTACCTTTTGTTACCTGGTTTGTTCAGTAGCAAATACTATCCTCGGTACCATATCTAATTCTTGTTGGGGCTTGGAATGTTTAGGTAGGATGCCTGGCTAAGAATGTTCAAAATTATAATTCTGTTATATATTTATATCTATATATGTATATATATAATGTTATAGTTATTGGTTACAACATTAATGGTGGTGGTTTTAGTGAGCTCTTGGGTTGGGAATAAAACATTTAAGAAATGGTATTTTTTCTTTGTTCTCAGGTGGCAAACAGTTAAGCACATACGATCCATTCAGTAGAAACCCTTTGTTCTGTGGAGCTGAAAATACAAGTCTTTGGGAACTCAAAAAGGTAATGATTTAAAGGTATTTTGAAATGATGGTTTTTCATGAAATGAAAAAATGATTTAAAAATTAAAGGTAATTTTAAATTGTCTTTTAATTCATTAGCACTTTGTATTTGTCCTCATGGATTTAACACCTTGAAGTTTCCATTTTTGCTTGTAAATATGATCAATACAGTTTAATTATTTAGACATTAGTTAAGTGGCAGAAGGAAGCAATTTGAAGAATGTCACCCAGCTATAATGCTTTATAACCCATATTTCTGTAGCATTTGATAAACATTAAATTTACGCATTTATACATATTCACATGTAGCAAACCTTAAATAATGTGGATGCAAAGTAAGAATGTTATACATGGCTATAAATAAATTTTGCTTTATGCATTAGATCTCCCCGAGAAGTTTTGTGATGATAGAATTATTTGCAAATAAAATTACTTTTTAAATGCATTAGAGGAACTCATATTTCCAGTAAACTTTCTGTGTTATCTTTGGAAAAGCAAGTAAGTGTCTTACCACACAGACTCCCATGGGTCTTTGATACCTTTTCAATGAGTCTGCAGGGTCACAGCTACTTTCATTGTGATATCAAGGCACATTATTTGCCTTTGTCACTCTGTTGACAGAGGAACTGATGATATTCAAGAAATGATAGCTAAGGGGCGCCTGGGTGGCTCAGTGGGTTAAAGCCTCTTCCTTCGGCTCAGGTCATGATCCCGGGATCCTGGGATCAAGCCCCGCATCGGGCTCTCTGCTCCGCGGGGAGCCTGCTTCCTCCTTTCTCTCTGCCTGCCTCTCTGCCTACTTGTGATCTCTGTCTGTCAAATAAATAAATAAAATCTTTTAAAAAAATAAAAAAATTTAAAAATTTAAAAAAAAGAAATGAAAGCTGAAACTGCTAGTGTCTTAGTGCAGATAAGGACAGTAGCCATTATATTCTTCACTGCCATGTACCTTCAGGGAAAAAAAAGCCAGTATCTTATAAGAATGATGAAATAGGAAAAATTAGTAATTATCTTGACTCTAGAGTACATGGCTTTTTCATAGTCTTTGTGCATATCCAGCAAAAATCCATAACGTACTTCTGCTGTATACCTAAGTATGAGGTTGTCTTGTGTCTTGGGAAAAGTACCTGTGTAGCTGGTTGTAAACTCAGCTGCTTTTTTCATAAAAGACTGGTTGACAGATAGACTGGTTGTTCAGATTTAGGTATTTGGGAGACATTTTCTTGAAAGTGAATGAACTGAATCTTTAATTTGATGCAAAACAGCTAACAGTATTTGTTGTCAATGATAAAATTCAAGCTTTTAAGCAAAGTAAACGTTTCGAGATCTTGTAACCACTACCTTGAATTTGACACTTTCTCAATATATGAAAACGTATGTTTTCTTTTTTTTTTTTTTTTTAAGATTTTATTTATTTATTTGACAGAGAGCTAGAGAACACAAGTAGGGGAGCAGCAGGCAGAGGGAGAGGAAGAAGCAGGCTTTCCGCCAAGCAGGGAGCCCGATGTGGGGCTGGATCCCAAGACCCTGGGATCATGACCTGAGCCACAGGTGGCCCCTTATCTACTGAGCCACCCAGGTGCCCTATAAAAACTTTTCTGATAAAATCAGTGGTGATACTAACAGTGTGACTTTGTGATAATGCAACCAGCATGTGGAAGAACTGCATAACTTACTGAATCAGTATTTTCCAAATGCCTAAATGCACAGTATTACAAAGTCATGGTAAAAAGATTTATTCATAGTAGACTGATTAATTTTGAGTAGCAAGTACCAAAAGCTGATTGATGTGGTTTCAGATTCCATATTGCAACTAATCTTCAGTTTGAGTGTAGTATCAAAGAAGAAATTTCACAGTTATGTGAAAGGTTATCCGTTAACCCTCCTATTCCCAACAATATATCTGTTTGAGCAAGATTGTCTTTTTATACTTCCAACTAAAAAGTAACAGGGAATACAGAAGCATGTATGAGAATGCATTGTCTTCTGTTAAGCCAGACATGAAATAGATTTACAAAACTGAAATTATTCTACTCTTTTCCTAATGCTTATATGTTCTGAAAAAATATTTTTCATAAAACATTTGTGTTAATATATAATAGGCTCATCGTTATTTTAAAATTGACTGTAAGTAATTGTTTCAAAATTTCCTATTGTGGGTGCCTGGCTGGCTCAGTTAGAAGAGCATAGGACTCTTGCCCAGGGGGTTATGAGTTTAAGCCCCACAGTGGGTATAGAGATTACTTAGATAAATAAAAACTGAAGAGAAAATTTTTGTTGTAATTTCTAATAAGGTAAATATCAATAGATATATCCCACTTAAACTTTGGAAGCTCTTAAAGTCTTGATTTTTTTTTTAAGATTTTTATTTATTTATTTGACAGACACAGTAAGAAAAGGAACACAAGCAGGGGGAATGGGAGAGGGAGAAGCAGGCCTCCTGCTGAGCAGGGACCCCCCCCCGCCCCCACCCAATGTGGGGCTCGATCCCAGAACCCTGGGATCATGACCTGAGCTGATGGCAGACGTTTAATGACTGAGCCACCCAGGCACCCCAAGTTCTTAACTTTTAAAAGTATAAAGCATTCCTGAGACCAAAATTTTGAGAATCACTCTTCTTTAATGTATTGGCTTAAGTTTTAATTCTTTGTATTTACAACTATAGTAAGAGTTGACTTTCCTCTGTTTTTTAGCTATCTGAGCATTTTCATCCCTCTGTGGCCCTTTTTGCAAAGACTATCCTTCAGGTAAGTCTAATATTCTAAAGTCAAGAAATAAGAAAAAAATAATCTAGTTTTAGATAATTAGTAGTTGGTCATACAGTGTTTCCTATCCACCACATAGAATTATAAACATTCTCTGCTGGTGGAAAGGACCAATGACTTTTTTAATACAGTAGGGCAGGTAATTCTTCCGACTGTGTGGTGAATGGAAATACAGGCTATTAGAAAATGGCAACAGTTATTTATTACATTCTGGCTTTTCTCCTGAAGAAAGACTGCCCTCCCTTTTCCCATTTGCTGTGTTGGCCACGTCAGCGTTTGGTTCCTGGTTAATAGATGACTTACAGTATTGTTTACCTATTCATAAAATCAACAGTGTATCATAAAATATGTATGTATATGTATGATTGTGTTTAATTCTTCAAGTAAGAGGGATGAGATGGATATTTGAAGGGTCATTTATGGCATATTTGTGCCTTTGATGCATTGTAGATGATGTTTTTCCTTTTTTTTTCTTACTGGATGCATATATATAATTTGAGTTAAGTTCTTAGTCCTCCTCCCCTCTCCACCTTTCAGGGAAATTATATTCAGTATTCAGGGGACCCACTGCAGGACTTCACATTAATAAGATTCTTAGATCGGTTTGTATACCGAAATCCAAAGCCACATAAAGGCAAAGGTATGCTTCTATTTAATTATTTGGTTTTCACTGTTGATATTTAATAAATGAGCATAAAACTAGGTTTTATATTACACTGTCTTAATTTTTACATTTCAGAAAACACAGATAGTGTTGTGATGCAACCCAAAAGAAAACATTTTATGAAGGATATTCGTAGTCTTGCTGGTAAGTATAAAACCTCGACAGTTGAAGCTGACAAGACTAGTACAACTCAATAACAAATTGTATTATTCTTTTCTCCATATTACCAGATAAACCTAAGTACCAGAGACATTACCCATCTTTTATTCCCAAAAATATGTATGTATTCTTAAGTTTACTATGTCTGACTGGGCCTTTTATTTTTTTAACTTTATTACAGAACATTTCAAACATCCGGGGTGCCTGGGTGGCTCAGTGGGTTAGGCCTCTGCCTTCAGCTTGGGTCACGGTCTTGGGGTCCTGGGATCGAGCTCCACATCAGGCCCTGCTCAGCGGGGAGCCTGCTTCCCCCCTCTTTGCCTGCCTCTCTGCCTACTTGTGATCTCTCTCTCTATGTCAAATAAATAAATAAAGTCTTTAAAAAAAAAAAAAGAAAGAAAGAAAGCTCTTTAAAAAAAGAAAATTTCAAACATCCAAAGTAAATACAGAAGGAGTATATTGAACTCCCTGTAACTATCCCCAGCTTCACCATTTAGCAACATTTTGCAATTTTTATACCATTTGTAGCTTTTAGTGACTCCCCCCATATATCTCATATACATAAAAAACTATCTTTTTCTTTTTTTTTTTTTTTTTTTTTTTTTGGAGAGAGGGAGAGTTGTGAGCAGGGGGAGGGGCAGAGAGAAAGAGAGAGATCTCAAGCAGATTCCGTGCTGAGCACTGAGCCTGACAGAGGGCTTGCTTGATCCCACAATCCTGAGATCACAGTCTGAGCTGAGGTTCAACCAACTGGATGCTCAACCAGCTGAGCCACCCAGGTAGCCCTATAGTTAAAGATCATCTTAAGCTGTCTCTTAAGGGTTCAGTAGAAAGCGCACACACAACTAGTTTTTTTATATAATAAATCACAGCTCCTTTTCATTCAGAGACTAGAATTAATTGGTGCTTTATTAATCATTTACTTTCCAACTGATTTATTTCACAGAGATCCAGAGATGGAATGGACTTAGCCAAAGTTTAAATAGAGTTAGAATTTAGAAGCCAAATCCAGTTTTAATCAAGATGAGTTAGAAATTTTCATTGTGAAGAGAGAAAATATTCTTGTAGTTCCATGTTCTTGTTCCCTGATTTTCATCAGTATTAAGTAAAATTGTGGATAATTCTGTTTACTTTTACTTCCTGTTCCAGAATGGCAGATGTTACTGTCTTTCTTTCTCTGAGACGATAAGTTTAAAGTGATTATTAAGAGAACTCTTTAATTTTATCTCTCTTAAAACTGGGGTCCTGGATGTGGTTGGAGGACAACGAAAACCATGTTCATTCACTGTGATGCACTGATGGCGATGTATGTCATTGTAGCCAACAAACAGTTTCAAATGTTGGGTCTTCTGCACTTAGACATTTCCAGAGACTGTCCTTTGCACTAGAAGATCCCTTCTGTCCCCTTTCCTTAAATTTTGAGACTTTATAATTGGAGGTATGCTGTATATAGTCTTATAAGCTTGGATAACATAAAAAGGATTACTTTAATAAAATTTTTTCTTAATCTGTTTTTCTAGTGAATAGTAAGGAGTTCCTTGCAAAAGAAGAAAGCCAAATACCAGTGGATGAACTGTTTTTCTACAGGTAATCTACTCAATGAAGTTTCACTTGGGCAACTATTAAAATTTAAATTTTTAGGACAAAAAGATTAAATTTTTAGATTCCATAAAATGGCTTCAATAATATAGGTCAATCTTGAAAAGATCTAAAGGTATGTCATTTGGGGCACCTGGGTGGCTTGCTCAGTTGGTTAAGGGGCTACCTTCGACTTAGGTCCTAATCTTAAGGGTCCTGGGATTGAGCCCCACATCAGGCTCCCTACTCAGTAGGGAGTCTGCTTCTCCTCCCTTTGCCCCTCCACCCCACCCCCCAGCTTGTGCTTGCTTGCTCTCTTAAATAAATAAAATCTTTTTAAAAATAGTGTGTCAGCCTTTTTTTTTTTGCAAAAGGAATTTATAAATCATTCAGCTTGCTAATCCTAAGATATCTAACTGGAACTTAAACAAGTAAACTTGTGGGTGTTTTTAATAAGTAGCTTAAATTTTATGACTCTTGACTTCATAAAACCTAATCTTTAATTTCTTATCTTTTTAATATAGTAATTATCTTACAGGCTTTAAATCTGTTAACAGTCTAACATTATGTTAAGCAACTCATGAATAATTTGTCCAAACTACGACTCTAAGCAGAATTAGCAAAATTCACTGTGCTATTACATAGAGAACTCCTAAACTTACTAGTGTTCTTACTGTTATCTGTTTGGTTAATTCTGTTTATTTGCCTTTTTAAAAATATTTTTTTTTTTTTTAATTTATTTATTTGATAGACAGAGATCACAAGCAGGCAGAGAGGCAGGCAGAGAGAGAGGAGGAAGCAGGCTCCTTGCCGAGCAGAGAGCCCGATGCGGGGCTCGATCCCAGAACCCTGAGATCATGACCTGAGCCGAAGGCAGCGGCTTAACCCACTGAGCCACCCAGGCGCCCCGCCTTTTTAAAAATATTTTGTGTGAAGAATTTTTAGAGTATGATCCCATCTGCAGAATGCTAAGTTTCACTCTACCCCAGTATTAGAATGGGTCTGATAAAATATTGTGATGTTATCTAGAGCCACATTTTTGCCTTATTTCTAACACTTAGGTCATTCGTGTTAAACAACCTGTCATTTAATTTAATTAAATGTAAATTGTCATTCAATTAAGATGAAGTGTTTTTATGCACTAAATCCTAAATCTTTGAAATTTATTATACTTCACATTCAGAAGTAGCTATTTTAATTCAAAACTTTTGTTTATAATAAAAATTTTAGTCATTTATATCCAACTGAATTAACAGTTCTTACACTTGTCTGTGTCACTGGTCATAGGTGCTTTGATTATACCAAATGGGCCATTTAATACAATTATTATAAGGGAGCCTGGGTGGCTTAGTCTGACTCTTGGTTTCTGCTGGAGTCATGATCTCTGAGTTGTAAGATTGAGCCCTGTGTCAGGTTTCCTGCTCAGCAGGGAGTCCACTGGAGATTCCCTCTCCCTCTCCCCTCCACCTCGTGCACATGCACAACGCTGTCTGTCTAAATAAATAAAATCTTAAAAGTAAGATACATAACATGCATGTTTTTTCAGGTATTATAAAAAAGTTGCTGTTGTTAAAGAGAAACAAAAACGGAATGCGGATGAAGAAAGTATAGAAGATGTGGATGATGATGAGTTTGAAAAAATGATTGGTAATTTGTTTTTAATTTTAACTTTAATCTGTAAAATTGCTATTAATCTGTAAAATAATCTAATAATGGAATGTTAGTGGTAAGGGTATCTTAGTTTTAAAAAATCATTTAGCTAAGAATACCATGCAAATGATAATGAAGAACTAAAAAATATTTCAGTGGCATATGGTAGTTCACCCACACTTGATCCAGAAAGATTTAGGATTGTGTGTGGACAGTTCATGGGAAAAATAAATTTCTATTTATGTGGCGTATATTCATTCTTAAGGCCTAATCTCTTATAGAAGAGAAACCATTTTTACTGTTCCTAATTTCCTTGCACTATTGGTATCAGCAGTATGCTCTTTTATCTGTTTTATCTTTGTGATCCACAGAGCTATAAAATTTTAATCTCAATTTAGGCTGAAACAAAAAACCGGAAATTAGAAAAACTTACATTGAGTTTTTTTGCACATTGTATCTACTAAAAATAAGCACTTAAAAGAATTGCAACTGCTAAATATCATTTTGATATTTACCCTCTTTCCTTAAAAGAGTTGTAGAAAGAAGCCAAAATTAACTGGAATCCATTTTGGTCTGGGAATTTAATTGAAGTCCGTAAAAAATAATAATAATAATTAAGGTCAGTATATTCACAGGCTTATGTAGATTAATAAAACACACAAGCAGTAGTCAGGTTTATAAAACATCATTTTGGTGTTTATGCATCATAAATAGCAGAATGACTGTGTTAACTGGTTCAGATAGAAGACCTGTCAACTTTGTTATTCCTTGCTGTTATCTGACAGTTTATGTATTGTTCTCTGACAGACACATTTGAAGATGATAATTGTTTCACCTCCGGAAAGGATGACCTTGATTTTGCCAGGTAAAATATTTTTCTTAAGTCTTATTTTTTAAAAAACTATTTTCTTAGCATTTCCTAAATTGTTTTCCTTAGGACAGTAGAATACAGGACTCTGTGATCTGTAGGAGAAATTTATTGAAATACACTTGGGAAATGGAGGTAGTATTTTCATTGTAGACTTTAATAATGCATAGAGGTTCTAGGCTGTCTAACTTTGTTAATAGCCTAGTACCCTGCTAATCACCAAAAACACATTAGAAAACAATGTTCTCTGCTACATGTTGTTTTTCTTCAGCAACATGAAAAAGAAAAGAAAAGGTGCTAAGGAAGACCCAGAAGATGAAGATTCAGAAGGCAGTGATGATGAGCTTGACAACTTGGATGATGATGAAGTTTCTTTAGGAAGTATGAATGAAGAATTCACTGAAATTGATGCAGATGGAGGAACATTCATGGATGTGTTGGATGATGAAAGTGAGGGCATTCCAAGTAAGCATTTTTTTCCCCCAAGTAAACGTTTTTAAAATAAAAAGCAAAAAAGTATATTTTCCTTTTTTCCTCCGTATAAGCTAGTTTTTCTGTTGAAGCATTTTTTAAACATTACTTTATATTCAAATTAATAATCAGGTTGGCTAGAAATTTAAATAGGATCTTTTCCCCCTCTTATTTGGAATTGAATAGAGGTTGAGTTTTGAGCTTTTATTTTAATTAATAGGCTTTCCGCACAATACCTGTTGAGCTGTTAAGTTATCCTTTTTTTAATGTTAGAAAGTAGTTACTTCTCAAAGTTAATCACAATATTCATCATTTATCTTTGCCTTATAGCAGTTCTGTTGTTTTTAAATTGCTTAATAGTGTTTTTATTTTTGTTTTGTTTTTGTTTGGGGGCGCAATAGAACTTGATGATGAAGTCAGCTCTAAAACCAGGACAAAGAGAGGCAAGAGAAAAGGGGCAAATGATTTTGACTTTGCTGGATCATTTCAAGGTAAGAAAACAGCTCTTTTAAACCTAAGTAGTGCCTCTGAGAAAGTTACTACTCGTTATCATTTTGGGAAATTTTCTAAATTGGTTAGTATGATTTTGTTTTTGCTTTTATGATGGATAACATCAGTTTCCTCTGTTTTTAATATGTGAAAGTTGTTTCACACATAATACCTTCATATTTTTTCCTCATAACTTCCTTGCTCTCATTTAAATATCTCTAGAATATCTTTAAAGTATCATATTATGCCTTTTAATGTTAACGCTTGTAAGATGCTAATAAAGGAAAAAGGTGTTATGTCAGGTGACAGTTTTAGCTTTTTGATAAAAATGTAGAAAGCATTGTATTTCGTTCCTGAAATCTGTGATAAATTCAGACTTGCTTTTTCTTCATGCTTTGAACGTCAGACACTTAAACTTGCAAAACTTATCAGCTCTTTGAAATACTAACAGTGACAATCCTCTTAATTAGATGATTTACCTGATATATAAATTACAACATTATCTTTCAGATTTTGTCTTCCACTGAGTAATGTACGGTGACACTTTAATCGTAGCATATGCTTAAGTATAAGACAAAGTTTTCCCTAAAATCATCTCCAGAGAGAAATGTTGCCTTATTCTTAAGTCCTCCTGAGCCTGTTATATTAAAAGATGCTGTTTCAGTGACTTGATTTGACTAATAAAGCACTATTTCAGAAGACAATAGCCTGAAAGATGTCAGATCTCAGCTGACAGTAGTTTCAGATGCAGATTAAAGGATACCTGACAGAATTGGTTAAAACAAAAGGAGGCCAAGGAATTTCAAACACTGATAAACTGGGGGCGGTAAGAGTGTTCACCCTACATTTGCAAATGTTGGATATCATTATGAATAAACCTTAAGGCAACTTTAAGAAGGCAGTAACTGTGCTTACTAGTTGATATTAACAGTTATATGCCTGTAGGATGAATAAAAACAAACAAAAAACCCTTCTGGGTGCTATACAAATGGGAGTTTTAACTCAAGAGAAAATATTCCATAATAGCATCATATGCAGTTCCTTAATAATATAATATACACAAAATTTTAAATGAAAGGCTCTAGAAACAGTTTTATCAAAAGTGGCTTGATACCCATGCAAAGACTTTACATGAATGTTTGTAGCAGTACTATTAATAGCCAGAAAGTGGGAACAACCCCAGTGTCTATTCACAGATGAATAGGTAGCGGAATATCATTCAGCAAAAAAATGGAATGAGGTACTGACTGTAGTATGGATGAGCTTCAGAAATGTTACGCTAAGTGAAAGAAGCCGGATACAGAAGACCACACATCATATGATCCCACTTACGTGAACTAGCCAGAAAAGACAAAGCCCTCTTGGGGAGAGGGCGCATGACTGCAGATGGGCACCACGGATCTTTTGGAGTTGATGGAAGTGTTTTTTAAAATTGCAATGTGATGATAGTTGAACAACTGTAAGTTTACTAAAACATACTGAATTATACATGTGAAAACAGCTGAGTTTTATGATGAATTTTACTCCCTACTAAAGTTTTTTTTAAAAATGGCCCAAGTAGATGCAAAAAATTTGAATATTATTTCAAGAAAAGTGAAAATGGATAAAAGCAGTATTCTTAGTAAATGTATTTTTAGATAATGTGATTTTTAAATGTGTGAATTAAAATTTAATAAATATTAAAAATAGGTGTTTGTTTATTTTGAAAGTTTATACGTTCAGAATTACAGGTTAAGTGGTTTTTCCTTTCGTAGAACCACTTTGAGAAGTGTAGACAAAATTTCATTTATAACATAAAAAACATACCCTCCATCAGTTTCTTCAGTTAGACCAAAGAATAAAACCTCTGACTTAATTAGATCTTACAGTTTGCCTTAAGTATTCCAAAATTCAACCATGGTCAACTTTGTAATTAGTCTTGGCTGATACTGTGAAAAAGGGTAAACCTGGAGCAGTGTTTCCAAATCTGAAAGTCAGGCAGGAAGACACTATTGTCATCTCAAAAATTTTATTAGGATACTAACTCTTAAATACATTATATTTGTCTTTAAATACCAGCTACTTAATGGTGCTAGAAGATCACTGTAATTCTGTACTTTTTTTTTTTTAAGATTTTATTTATTTATTTGACAGAGATCACAAGCAGGCAGAGAGGCAGGCAGAGAGAAAGGAGGAAGCAGGCTCCCTGCTGAGCAGAGAGCCCGATGTGGGGCTCGATCCCAGGACCCTGGGATCATGACCCGAGCTGAAGGCAGAGGCTCTAACCCACTGAGCCACCCAGGCGCCCCTGTAATTCTGTATTTTAACCCAAAGGCAACCTTTTTATAACAGAACCATGTTAAAAGATTGTTGAATCACTGTTGTACACCTGAAACTAATGTAACACTGTGTGTCAACTATATTTCGATTTTTTTTTAAATGTGTATTTTTCAAAATCATTGGATTTACAGTTCAATAATCTAGGCTTACACTTTTTTTTTAGGACCAAGAAAAAAAAAGAAAGGAAATTTCAATGACCCCAACCTATTTGTATCTGCTGAGGAGGTAAGACTAATATACTGCTTTAAGAAGTTAGCTATTCCATATTGTTTTGAGTTTTCTAATAAATGTATCTCTATTTAAGTTTGGCCACCTACTGGATGAAAATATGGGATCCAAGTTTGATAACATTGGCATGAATGCCATGGCCAACAAAGATAATGCAAGTAAGTAACTAGAATAATTGATTGATTGATTAGGGGGGTAGCTGCACAGAGGGAGAGAGAATCTCCAACAAACTCCCTGCTGAGCCCAGAGCCAGGTGCAGGGCTCCATCCCACAACCTTGAGGTCAGGCTCTGAGCTGAAATCAAGAGTCAGACACTTAACCGACTGAGCCACCCAGGTGCCCCAAGTAACTTGAGTTTTTTTATGGAGGTTTTTAAATGGCCTTAACTCAGAACTTCTGAAGATGTATTTTTTGGAGGATCGTTTTAGGAAGGATGAATAAAATGGTTCCTTATGACCTGGAAGGAATGGCTTTTTCATTTCTGTATGGGGAGCATATAGGATTAAAAAGTATTTAGACTACAGCAATAAAGACTGTAATTACTTTAAACAGTTACTTTAGTTTTTTTATCTAGGCAGGTTTTTATATAATAGGAATTTGCTAAGTAACTTTTTAAGTACTTTATAGACATTTTTCTGATATTGATAAGTTACTGGCTTCTGTTCTTTTGCCAAAGAAAGTGTTCAGGGAAAATAAAATCTTTAGAGCATTTTGTTCCTTTCTTCTCCTAGTCTTTTATTAGTTAAACAGTAATCTTTAACAGTAAATGCCAAAGGAAAGCAACAAACAAAAGCAGGGATTTGCATAATAGATGGGAAATGACTGTGAGCCATGGCAGACCAGAAGTTTCTGTTTTCTTCTGTGGGGCCAGGAGTCCACAATGTGGTGTGCTCATCTTTCTTTTCCCCCACAAAGGTCAGAAACAGCTTAGATGGGAGGCTGAACGTGATGACTGGCTACACAACAGAGATGTGAAAAGTATCATCAAGAAAAAGAAAAATTTCAAAAAGAAGAGGCCGAAAGCCACTCAAAAAATTAAAAAGCAAAGAAAATGAGTTTTCTAATTAAAAATTAAATTGTACTTACTCCTAATTTTTGCTATTCAACCATTTTTCTTGATCTTGCTCTCTGACTCCATACATTCCAGACTGTTCAATGGATTTGTAATAAACTATAAATAAATACAGCTGTCATTTATAAAATCATGTAAAGGTATTAAAATTAAACTATATTGAGAGAAATCAAACCACTTTTCCTTATTTCTACATGGTAAAATGAAAAAGATAATAGGATACATATTTCATGGAAAGCCCTCCAACATCTGTACTAAGTATGGTAATGAGCACTATTTATTAAGCATTACTTTATACCAGATTATTGTGCTAAGTGATTACATAATGTCATCTTGTTTAACCCTTACAACTATTCATAAGGTGGACAATTACCACAACTGGACAAAGAAACTGCTCCAAGAAATTAGCAAATCAGAGGTCACACTGTAGTTTTAAGCTGTGGTTTGTCACCATCACCTCAAACATGTTTTATTCCAAAGTTTTCAACCACTGGTAACTACTCATCTCCAAGAGAATTTCCGCCACCATGTGTTCTCAAAAAGAGCTAAAATAGGGATAAACAGTAATTTTTCTTGGAAACTGACATCACCCAAAAAAAAAAAAAAAAAAGCCTTTTAACCCTTAATTGGTCATAAAGAAATTCCTTAATTTAAAGGGTGCCTGAAAAAGTTGTTTTATACTCTTAAGGAAAAACCTACCTTCCAAGATGAAGGGAAATTTCTTGCTCATCATTTGCCTGAAATCTGATGAAAGAAAGGTCTTAAAATTAGACATGACTAGAAATTCATCATACTAAAACATGGAGCCACATAATTTAGCATTAGTTTTAGGGTCTATGAGACAGGAATCCTATAGATAAGAAATGTGTGTTAAGGTCCTGGTAATCAGGAACCCTCTGCTGCACTGGGTGTAATTTGCACTTGCCTTGCATGTTGCCCCCCCATAGTTATTTTGGACTTTTTCAAATTTGGCCTATATATATGATGTAATTTATTTAGAAATATTTATTTAGAAAAGTAAGTTTTCCGTGTTACTGTGTAACTCTCTTACAGAACTATGAAGTTTGAGATCAACTTCAAAAACCGGATAGAGTCTAGTTTCTAATTCCATAGCAAGGTAAAATGGAATACTGGAATACATATTGGATTCCATTTTACCTTGCTGTGGAATTAGAAACTTGAATTTGTTTTTATATACTGTTCGGATGTTTTCTTTTATACACTTAAACTTCACAAGTGACTGAGCATCCTAGAACACAGTGTTCAGTGAAGTACCTTAAGAGGACAAATGACAAGTTTCAAAGATGGCCACCACCCCCAGGACTACTATTTCCTGCTCTAGGGAAAGAGAAGCAGCATTTCCTCATTTTAAAAGTTGAGGGCTCTAATAGAAAATTTCCCTCCAGAATGTGTTACAGCACTTTCAGTGGCAGCTGGTGGCATGGGAAAGGTTTTAAGTACCCAGTTATTGATAGCAGAGGAGGAACTCTGATCGCTTTTGAAACTGGTTACTTGACAACTCAGCTCCACCACTAATTCTCAGTCTATGAAACAATGAGGTATAAGCAGCAGGCTGAATTTCTTCCACCTGTGTTCCCAAACTAAGCCAGACCAGACACCTGCTCTGTGCCCCAGACAAGTAAAATCCAAGTATGAAACATTTTCCCTAGTCTACAAGTAACATTATTTAGGGAGAAGAGTCATTAAGTCTACAATAATTAACACCAAATTTCTTACGTCCATAAAAAGGTTAACATTTAGTGTTAATATAATGTATTACTTCTTTCAGAGGTACAGATCTGTGATTCATCAATCTTACACAACACCCAGCGCTCACCACAACACATACCCTCCCCAATGCCCATCATTTAACCCCCCCATTCCCTACCCCTCTCCTCCAGCAACCCAAAATGCCTAATATACTGAAGAAGCAATTTCTCTAAAAATGCTATTTAGTACCTCAATGTATTAGCAAACTGCACACCCCCCCTAGAAAACATTAACTACTGAATTAGGATTACCTTGGCTTGTGTTCATCTTATTAAATAAAAAATATGCTCCAAAAACGCCCAAGAGTTCAGCTACTAAAACTCCTTTAAAGATCTTCTTTGCCACTGGTTCCATAGTGCGGGCCATCCTAAGTTCAACAATAACAAATACATGTAAACCTGAATGAGCATACACAAAGTGAATACCTTTTCGACAAAAGCAACTCCAATTCATTCCTACAGTCTGAATAATTTAGAGATTAAAACCCTAAAGTTACTGTATGCTTATTTGTATTTGATATGTCCCACAGTCCTAGTTTTCATTCTCTACCCCACACAATGAACCAAAGACACCAATGGAAAAAGCACAAAAAGGAGATGAAACTGATAAAAAGCACTGTAAAAAGAACTAACAATTGATGGAATTAAGATTTTTAATTGCCTAAGAATAGAATATTGACAAGGTAAATCATTATTTTTAGCCAAGCTAGGAAGTAAGATATGATCTAATAGGCGCCATATGTGAAAACTCTTTGAAAGTACCCTACAAAAGTAAGGTTATTCTATAAGTGATTGTTTATGTTTCACAGCTGGAGGTTTTATTTATACAACATATTTTGAACTATGTGCCACAGCCCAAGCATTTCATATAAAGTTAAAGAAACCAACTTGTTCTGGGGAGCTGCTATTCTAACAGTATTTTGAAACTAATTACATCACCCAAAAGACTTGTTAAAAATGTACATTTCTGAGCCTAAACCTGCAGTTCCCCAGTCCCTCAACTGTGATTTAGCAAGTCTAGGGTTAGCATCCCAGTAAAGTGTGCATTTGCAAGCAACTCCAAATGACTTCTGTACAAGATGCCCTTAGACCAGGAGGAAAACTAGCCACCATCACCCAGTAAGTGGCAAACTAGACTTTAGATCTTGACTCTCTTCCTTTCACTAAAATAAAAGCTAATCCAAAAAAGGGTTTGAGTCTTCATTCTCCTTCTCCAATGTAAAAGCTGAACAAGGGAAAGGGCTATATAGTAAGCTTTAAAAAAAGTAGCATATGACTCTTACTGAATCTATGAAATGTAAATGCAAATTCTTACTCTGCCTCCCTATAATCCCAACAACAGGAGAAATCAGTCGTTTCTAATCTCAGGATTTTGATACTGTCCAATGTATGCTCTTTGTCGAACCGTTCTCTGCCCTCTGTGCGGAGACAGTAAGATCTCTAATACTCTACAGTCCCAGCTGTCTGCTCACCACCATGCATTTACACCATTTCCTCTTGACTCCTTTTCACAATGCCTGAGAGTGGGGTAATTAAATACCCTACTTTTGTAGGATTATCCTATTAATTGCTTTATCAGGTGTCCCTTCCTTCATTTTGATAATGTGATCACCCTGGGGACTAAAAGACTAAAACTTTATTATTTTTATCTTAAAAAAAAAAATGAAGCCGAGGAAGTTAAAAAAGAACTTACATATAATCAACAGGCAGGTGAGTGGGTGGGGAGAACTGTTTTGCTGTTTACGATGCTGTACCTGACAGGGAGTAAGTCATGATCAGTACAAGGATCTCTCTTGGGGTAATTTTTAATGTGCAATAGGTGAAAAAAAAAATTTTAAGTTAAAAATAAAGCGTGCCTGCAGCAATGTCCTCAATATAAGGAATCCTAGTAAAATGTGGTTTTGTTTTGTTGGGAGGTGAGGTTAAGAGTTCAAAAAATAAAGTACAAATAACACTGTTACAGCATTTACCTTTTAAAAATACATATATATACACATTTTACATTACAAGTCCCTCAGCTTCAGGAAAGGTGTTTTTAACGATTGATAAAGCCTGGTCGATAAAGACCACCAAAGGCATACCCGTCCACGACAAAGTTGGGTTACTAGCTGGCAGAGAAAGACTAAGATTAGACGGGATTTTGGAGAAGCATGGAATTTAGGTGAAATTTAAAACAAGGCAGTGCTCGAGGAACCTGGGTGGCCCAGTCAGGGGAACCACAGATTTCATCTCAGGGTCCTAAGATCAAGCCCCGCGTCGGGCGTGGAGCCTACTTTACATACAGACGTAGATACTTAAACGAAACAAAGCAGTCTTCCAATGGGCTCGAAGAAAAGCAGCGCTGTGTGTCACGGGGTTTGCATGACACTGGCTGAGAAGCGGACTCAGGGTGCACAAGCGTAAACGTGCAATGCTGCGTCGGAAAACGCCTCGTCTGTGCGCTACAGCTGGAAAACGACGCGCCTCAGCCTCTCAGGCAAAATGATTTATCACACGGCAAGGTCTCTCGCACTCTACATGTTGGAGAGCAAGGTCTCTCAGCATCCCTGGGTTTTATCAGCTGAAGCGCTTTTTCCAGGTTCCCACGGTCCAGAACCAAGGCACCAGCGAGGCTTCCGAGAGCGCGTCAGGCTGGCTACCCGCGATCCTCAGGCCCTAGCGGCTCCCCGTCCCCCGGGTCTTCGGTGCACACCCGGCGGCCCCCAGCGTTCTCCTGCCTGCCCGGACGCTCCCGCGCAGCCCGCAGCCAACTCGAGTGGGCAGCGCAGGCCGCACCGCCCGACCGCGGCGACAAGGTCGCCCGCCTTGCGACCCGGAAACACTCGGGCCTGTCCCGCGCCTTCCCGCTGAATGGATATAGTGACACCCAACCTTCTTCCGTATGACCCCAGAACTTTGGCGAGGCCTCCCAAACTCCGGCCCCACTTCGTGCTCTGTCGAGCCCCAGTGAGGACGCCTAACTCGAGCCGTCATCCCTCTCTTACCTGAGGAGCTGGCACACAGGACTGCGCGTGCGCAAGGTTTGGCAAAGCCCCGCCCCTCCCGGCTTTGGTCCCGCCCCCATACCGTAATTACCTTTTATCGCGCTCTTCCTACTGAGAGCAGATCCTAACTGCGGGCTGTCTGTTAATTTATTTAATCCCCACAAAAACCCTATGTCATAATACGTGCTGTGAGTGTCTAATTTTACAAAGAAAGAGAGAATTTTACCCTGCCTACAATCACAGAGCTAACAAGAGACAAAACTGGATTTGAACTTAAGATATTGACTCGAAAAACCTGTGTTCAATTATTTTTCTACACTCTGCAACCAAAGTTGTGATAGTCTCCAAGAGTCAGCAATATGGCCATCACCTGCGAGCTTGTTAGAAATGCAGACCTACTTCAGTAGGCAGACATAACTAGCCTGCCGCAGCCCTACCCCTGGAATGCAAATGCTCAAATTCCGCAGTTCATAAGTCCTGTTCATCCTCCTCTAAGTCTCCAGCACCCACCCCTCCCAAAGTCTCCTTTGGGAGGCTGTACATTCCCAGTGTGACCCTGATTTGTTAACTCTAGCAGAAGGATGCAAGCGACCAGAAAGAAGTTCCCTTGCTTCATCATGTCCAAGGCACAGAAGTTAGCCAAAGTTCCAGTCCTCTGTTGTGGTCATAAGAGCAGGGGCAGCAGGGATCTCATCATTAACAAGTACCTAGGAAATTTGCTGTCCATTCTCCCACGGAAAGAGAAAGAGTGACCTGTCTGGGATCCTCAGAATGAAGCTCTTTTAATCACCTGACAAAAGTTTGCAGAGATTGGATGACCCATTTCTACTAGTGCCAGAAGACACCTACTGCAGAAGAGAAGCCCAGGATGTTGGTGATGGCCCAGCCATCCCTTCAGATGGCCGGAGGACACAGAGCAGTGGGGACCTACAGCCTCTAGCAGCACTGTCCCTGAGGCTGGGGAAGTGGGGGCAAGATTCCTGCTTGCCAGCTGCCCAGTGCTGGAATGGAATGCTTCTCCATCACCCCCAGTCTAGGATGACAAAGTGTCACCAGTTAAACTGCCCTGGGCCCTGAACGTTTCCAGCATCCACCTCTATCTTGCTGGTGTTCAACTTCTGAAGAGGGAAGCCAGTTTTTAAAAACTCCCAAAATACCAAGAGGTTACACCCTCCCCCTATATGTGGGATTCCAAAGTAAATTTCAATCCTGTACTACACTAGGAAGTAGCACTTCTCTTGCTAAAGAAGAGGGGGAAAGCACAACTTAATCCTGAAGAGGCACTGTACTACATAAAGAGGGGGATGGCATAGGAGCAGTCGATTTACCTTCCCCTAAAAATCAGCCTTGGGCCAACTGGCACACAAGAGCCATATGCTTCTTTTTTATTTTCAGTGATTATCGGTTACATATCACACCCAGTGTTCATTCCATCAAGTGCCCTCCTTAATGCCCATCACCCAGTTATCCCATCTTCCCACCTACCTCCCCTCCAAGAATCCTCAGTTTCTTTCCAAGGCTTCTTGGAAAAGCCTTGATCCTTGCTTTCCTGCTTTACTAATCAGACTATATAGTTCAATCAACCTAGACATTTTTGGTCACCAGTTTTGTTTTGGTTTTCTTTTTTCTCACTCTCCCTCTCTCTCTCTCTCATCCTCTCAACTTCTCTCTCCCTCTCTTTCTTTCCAGAATTCTCCTCTCTCGCTCTCTCTCTCTGATATAAGTCTATAGCCTAGGAAAAAAAGTGAAAAGAAAAAAAAATTAAGAGGGAACAATGTCTTTAATCTCAAGGAAAGGAACTTTAAAGAAACCTCCTTTGTTGATGCCACCAGGAGCATGAGCTAAGCCAGGTGCACTCTAACTGTCCCCCACCACTTACCTCGGGCTTGGGTGGATCCAGGAACTAAACAGAAGCTGGGACTGCACAGAATTGGAGGCCCACCTGCACTCAAAAGCACAGCAGTACAAATAATCATAAATCTAGGTTATTATGCAATCATTCTTGCTGTTTCCCTCCACCACTCATCTAGACAATTAAGAGTCAAGGAGGGGCCACCTGACTGGCTCAGTTGGTGGAGTACTCAACTCTCGATCTCAAAGTTGTGAGTTGGAGCCCCACATTGGATATAGAAAATACTTTAAAAAATAAAATCTTAAAAAATAATAATAATAAAAAATAAAATCTTAAGAAAAAAATAAGTAGGTAGAACTGAAAGACTGACAACGTGCCCTGAGCCCAGGGAGACTAAGAAGAATCAAAGCTCACATTACCAATTCCAAACAGCCTCCCAAATCCTCCTATAATTATAGGCATTAGTGTCAAAACAGGATCCAGGCATATTGTCTTTTTTATCATTTTACTCACTAAGAAGCAAGCGAAGGACAATAGCTGCCTTTGAATTAATGCCTTAAATTCCACCCTCCCCAGGAAAACAAAGACTATAATGTAAGGGACAATCCCACTAAGCAGCTTGGCAGGGAGTCCAGTCTTACTCATTTTCTTTTTTTGGGAGGGAGAGTCTGAAACACACCAGCTTCCCACCTACAGTGAATAGCATGCCATTGTTATGTAAGTAATAACACCTTCAAGGGAAGTACTGTATGGAAATACAAAAATGGTAAGACAGTCAGATATTCCAATGTTACCTTTTTATAAACATTTTAAAAATATATTATTACAAATATAATGAAACCCAGAAACCTATCTATCTAGGAACTGTCTCTGGTCAGTTCTTTCCCCTCTGTAAAATGGAGATTAAAAGTTGCTCTCCAAGGTGCCTGGGTGGCTCAGTCAGTTAGGTGTCTGCCTTCAGCTCAGGTCATGATCCCACGGTCTTGGGATCGAGCCTCCTGTTGGGCTCCCTACTCAGGGGAGAGCCTGCTTCTCCCTCTCCTTCCTGCTCAATCTCTCTCTCTCTCTCTCTCTCAAATAAATAAAGTCTTTAAAAAAAATAAAAAAATTAAAGTTGCTCTCCTACATCTACTACCTGCCTTAGTAAGATACGTTCTGTTGACATACAAAATTTCCTCAGTTTTCCTGTGATGGAAAAATTGCATGTCTGATTCAGTTCAATAACTATTTGTTAGATAGTTAATATCTATTGTCGTCTGGTTAGAGATTCTATTCTTACTTTCCTTCAAGGGACTGTCTGTAACAGTGATATGATCAGCCCCTGGGGTAATATTCCCTGATCCTCAGGTTGCTTTGCACCTGCGGTTTGTCTTTTGTCAGAGGTGGGTGTGTGGAAAGGTAGATGGGGAGAGGGGGGTGAGAATTAAAGAATTTATTTCTCATGTGAATGGGAGGAGCCCTTTATTCCACCTCCTGAAAAACTCCATTAAAAGCTATTGCTGCCCCTGGACAACTACAGAACAGGTTCATCAGCAGGGAGCCAGCATGGCCAATAAGTCCAAATTTATTGACTACATTGACGAAGCTTTGGAAAAATCAAAAGAAACTGCACTTTCTCACTTGTTTTTCATTCATCAGGGGATTCCATACCCAATCACCATGTGCACCTCAGAAACTTTCCAGGCCTTGGACACCTTTGAATCAGAAATGATGACGTAGTGCTCGCATCTTATCCAAAGTGTGGTAAATAACAAATCATTTTCTACCAGGGCACTTTTTCATAGTGAATAGGTTGCGCAGGGTCCTAGGCAAAGGTTGGGGAGGAGGGCAGTTCATCTCTGCATGAAGCTAGCCAGAAAGCAGTGGGAAGGATGATCAAGATGGTTAAGAGCATAACTTGTGGAATCAATAACGAGAACTGCTAGACTTAGAAACCTTGGTGTCTGAGGGAGGAGGTCTGCTGAATGATGGTTGTAGAAAATATGCATGGTGGGGCTAGCTACCAGAAAGATGAATGCAGGAAAGTCCATTTGCTATCAAGCATTGAGAGCAATAATCATTTTCATCTTGATTCTTGACTAAAGGCAAAAGCATGCCCATGTCTATAATGCCTATGACTATTTCCACATAATAGAATATTTTTCAGGATCAAACATCATCCATCCTTTAGTTTCTCAAACCAGCTTTACATGGTGATTCACTAATGGGGGAGGAGACATTAAGAATCTAAATTCTCCTATTTCACACAATCTCACAATCCACTTTTGATTTTTTTAACTTATTTCATTTCTAAGTGCTTATTGAAGCCATCTTCATTTGATAATTTCCTGTTAATCGATGCTGGGTTTTCATAAAATCAAAAATATCTATAGTCCTATATAAAATATTCATTAGTGTAAGAGGAAGTAACACATGATATGCAATAAACAATCATTTCTCTAACATAACAGTGTTCTGTAAGGAACATGTTATGGATTCAAGCAGTATTGCCACTTGTTAAAGGAAAAATCTGCAAAATAAGATAAATTTTGTACTAATGTAAGTAAGAAGTGCTGTTTTCTGCAAAACTCTGTTTCCTCCCACAGCCCAGTTTATTTCAGATGCAGAAGAACTGATTGTTCATACCACAGGATGGCTGTAGGTTCCAATTTTTATGATATATATGTGAAAGTAACATGCCTTTGCTAAATCAAGACTCCTTAATGATCTTTGATTCTTTGATTTTTCTTTAAGGTTCAAATTGGATTCTCCACATCATTAATGAGCTGATATTTGCTGAATCTAAGAAAAAGTATGAGTATCCAGAATTCCCAATTCTTGAATGTGGGGACCCAGAAAAATACGAGGTTAGTACAAAACAGCCTTTAAATTTATAGTAAATTATCACGGAAAATTTCTTCCATTTGGGGTATAGTTTTAGTTTTGAGTTCAGAAAGTACAGTCCTAATAATTGGGCAACTTATTTTGTGCTCACCATATACTCCCAGCACTTTTTAAGGATGATCTCATTTCATGGCAAAATAACCTCATCACCAAATGACAAAAGGCAAAACTGTTAGAAACTTAACCAACGTCAAGGGGCTAATAAATGGCAGGGCCAAGGTTTGAACCCAAGTTTTCCAATTAGCGCTTCTTAACCTCTGTAAGAGGTTAAGAATATATATAGACAGCCTACTTGTAAAAGAAAAAATAGGAGGGAAAGCAAGCCGAGAAACCTGAAGAAAAATTAAAACCAGAGTTGCTTGCCTGGCTCACTGGGTACAGTATGTGACTTCTGATCTCAGAGCTGTAAGTTTGAGCCCCATTTGGGTATAGAGATTACTTAAAAAATAAAATCTTAGGGGCTCCTGGGTGGTTCTGTTGGTTAAACATCCAACTCTTGGATTTGGCTCAGGTCATGATCTCAGGGTCTTGAGGTTGAGCCCAGGTCTGTCTTGGCACTCAGCGTTGAGTCTGCTTGTCTCTCTCCCTGCCCTGACACCCACCCCGCCCTCCCCACCCCCCCCCACCGCCTCACACATGCTCTTGCACTTTATCAGAGAAAAAAAATCTTCATTTAAAAAAAATCTTAAGTAAATAAATATAAAAGCAAAATCTTTTTTAAGAAATTGAAATGAAAAAAAGCTTTGTCTCTGAAGACGGAGACTTGGGTGGAATGCCATAGGAGGGTTCTTCTAAGGCTCAGATCATCCTGCCTTCAGTTTATGTCAGCAAGTCCCCAGACTTTTCCTAATAAGACATTACCTTTGATGTCCCTGCCTCCATGATGACTCTGGTGTGTGTGTGTTGGGGGTGGGGGGGGAGATGGAAAAGGATCAAGTAGTAGCTGAGAGAGTAAGTCACTGGTGTGTGTAAACGTTCTAACAGGTCATCCTGCCTGTTCTAATTCACCTTACCACATGTTATCATTCACTTTATCAGTAAAACTAAGTGGGGCTTGGGTGTGAGACAGGATACTCTGGTTCCTGCTAGGGAAGGCAAGAAAAGGGTGGGAGGAAGGATCTGCCTCAAAACTTCAGCGCTTGGACAGGACAGGTGAGAGTCAGACCATCCCCAGCCCTACCTAGATACACCAGAAATGCATTTGGGACGGGAAGGCTGTATTCAAGGAGGAACCACAATCTCGGCAAAATTTTGAGACGTGTTTACTACCAAGACTCCCAACTACCAAGCAGACAGAAGAACTCAGTTACTAAGAAATAAATTATTGGATTGGGACTTAGAAAGTGGTTTCTGGAAAATGACAGAAACACTTGGCATGATGACAAATATAAGCTGAGAAGTTGGATTTTACGTGGAAGAAAGTCATTTCCATGGATCGGGCTAAAGTCGCAGAAAATCATGTGCAAATGAGATGTGTAGGGACTTAGGGAGGGGGGGCTGGAGTGGGAGGTAAATGTGCTCCTGCCCATGGTAAGGTAAGCCATCCTGCTTGTGGCTGACTGCCCCCAGATGTGGCCAGTCAGGACTGGCTCAGGATGTATGGACAGGAGACTTAAGAAGTTTTTTCCTAGGTAAGAAACGATGGGCCAGTGAAAGGCCCCACTGGTTTCTCCTGTCCAGACCATTGCATAACATTTTTTCTAAAGAGGGTGTTTAGCATCAACTTTACAATTTATGCTAACATTTCCCCAGTTTTCCAACATTTTTTTTAAAAAAGTAAACTCTACACCAAAAGTGGGGCTTGAACTCACGACCTGGAGATCAAGAGTTGCATGCTCTGACTGAGCCAGCCATGCACCTCCATCTTAAAATGGAAATCAGTAAGAAGACAAGCTTTACTTAACAGCTATTCACTTTACAGAAAACTTTCCTAAAATACATATATTTTCCTGTACCTGGCTATCTTAGTCGGTGGAGTGTGCAACTCTTGATATCAGGGTTGTGGGTCAGCGTAGAGATTACTTAAAAAAATAAATAAAATAAAATAAACATACAGTCTTTACGCTGCTTATAGTTTGGCCATATCACATTTTCATCAATGTTTTATTATATGCATAGCAGTTTTGTTACAGTTATTTCTCACTTTCTCCCTGGATATTTTTCTAATCCTTTTAGGAACTTTACCATTTCTCATATGTCTTTTTGTGATTTTTGGCCATGCCCTGTAGTGGAAACAGCATACTATAACTTAATCTGAAAATTACCATCTGTGTGATTTTGTACAAAGCACTTAAAACCTCAAAGCCTATTGTTAATCTCTAAAATGGGGGTTATAACACCTACCTGAGAGGATTGCTGTAAATGAATCTAAAAGTGGCATTCAAAACTAATGATGTAAATCAAATATTATGACTATTAATCAACATTTGGGCCCATGTAATTGACTTACATTGGCTTTTTTATTTTTAGAACTTTTTTATGTTTTGCCCTTGCTTGAGTTGGGATCTCCACTAAATTTTTACAGAACAATTGGCTACAAATATCTAAATATCATTTTATCACTGAAATAATGTGACCAAGCAGTGAGTGACCTCTACAAGTATGGAAATAAACTTGAAACTTTAGCCCGTATAACATACTAAAGGACTGATTTTAAGACAAAACCCCAACACTGGCAGATTAAACAGATCAATTCATTTCTTAAATTATCAGTAGAAGTAGATACGTACACACAAAGAATCAGTTATTGAGTCCTTACACTGACAAGATTTTCTCTTGTAAAATATTTCTCAGATAGTTAAGTGACTATGCATTTTCAGGTTCTGTTGGGATATTTGAATGGAAATTTTAAAAAATTATTTATTTGTTTATTTGAGAGAGAGGGAGAGCATGAATGGAGGAAGAGGAAGAGGAAGAGGAAAAAGCAGGCTCCCTGATGAGGAGGGAACCTAACTTGGGGTTTGATCCCAGGACCTAGCGATCATGACCTGAGTTGAAGGCAAATGCTTAACCGGTTGAGCTACACAGGTGCCCCTGGAATATTTTTGGTTAAAAAAAAAAAATCTAGATATTAAAAAAAAAGTTTGGAGGAGCTATGGGAAAACTTGAATATTTCTGTTAAAAACCTTGAATATAGAAGAGAGCCAAATTAACTCAAGAGTAGACCGCAGATTATGAGCTGTCTTGAACAAAAAGAATTTGGTGATTGTGAGAAAAGGTAAACTTTTCAAAAAAAGACCAAAAAATAAAAAATAAAAAGATAAAAGATAAACCAGATCCTACAAGGACTTCCAAAAGGATGATTTAAATTATTTGTTTATGGTTTTTTCCATTCCTTGCCTCCACAAAGTAAGAAAACAACAACAAAAAAAAAAAAACTGGGAGAAGAGGAGCACCTGGGTGGCTCAGTCAGTTAAGCATCTGAGTCTTGATTTCAGTTCGGGTCATGATCTCAGGGTTGTGAGATTGAGCCAAGCCCACCCCCCATCCAATCCTCCCCCACCCCCACACACAGGGCTCCGCGCTGGAGGTGAAGCTGCTTAAGATGCTCTCTCCCTCTGCCCTTCCCCCAACCCTGTGCACAAGCACATTCTTCCTTTCTCTCTCTCTAAAACAAAACAAAACAAAAAAATTCTGAGGAGAAACTGAAGAAGACACAAGGACATAGTGGTCCTTGAAACTACCATTCAAATACTACACTTAAGAGTGATTGACCATAAGACACACCCACACTTTCACTTTATTGTGTATATTTTTAAGAGAATGAAACATTCCCATCGCCAAGGATTTTGGCAACTCACCTCCATTATGACAAATTACCTGGGTCCATCATCAAGAATAAAGCCAAGGTGAGTGTCATTCTTACTCATATGTCAGTTTGAAGTATTTAACGTCTAAGATATTGCCTTTCTGGGCTATGTGATGAAGTTCCTATCTTACAGAATTTTAATAAATGAAGTGTGAGATTTAGTATTTCTTCTGTTGTTTCTTCAGATTATATTAGCTGTAGTTTCATGCAAAGCAAAGGTACTTTCAGCTAGGATATAAAACATATACCTAGTATTAAACATATTTTAAATCTGTTTTATAGTGAATAGATTTCAGAATCCCACTAAGATATTTAGAGTGTTTCTAACAAGAGAGTACAATCTAGGAAAACAAGAGGAAGGGTTTGCTGTTGTTGTTGCTGTTCTTTCTGGTGAGCATTATTTTCCTGAGGTCTGAAACAATTTTATTTCTGAATTTCACATATAATAACAAACTTCATGTCATGTATATGTAACTACAGATGCTTTGGTCACTCTTATTCTTTTGGATCTTTCCCACCAAACTCTGAACATTATTTTCATTTTCCTTAATATTATTTTGCAACTTTTACTTTGCGATTTAACTTTCCAGATCATGTCCTGTGATTATTCTAATGAGCTTCCTTTTTTCCTTTTTGATGTCTTCTCTATGCGCCTTTTTACAAAGTTCATTAGCAGAAGTTCTCTACTACAACATTGATCTGCTTTTTCTTCTTTTTTCTCCCCTTTCCCTAAATTTCCCCACCTGCTACCCCCTCTTCCTCAATTTCTTCCTGTCATTCCTCCTCTTTTTGTTAACGAAATTAAGTTGTATACAAAAATATACAACGATATTGCTCACCCCTTTACTTTTCCAAGGTTCAAAACATAGACCTGAATAAATTAACTTAATTTTCTCTCCCTAGATATTGGTGATATTTCGAAACCCTAAAGATACAGCAGTATCTTTTTTCCATTTCTACAATGACGTCCCTGATATTCCAAGCTATGGCTCTTGGGATGAATTCTTCATACAGTTCATGAAAGGACAAGGTATAGCTGTTGGCAAAAGAATTCTTACTTCAACAGGTGACCCCATTAAGTACAAAAAATCAAATGTGTTTTACAGTGAAGAGAGATCATGGAGGATCCAGGAACCAAAAAGTTGCTTTTAAATGAAGTTTTATAGCACCACTAGTTCTGTGCATCAAACAATAATACATTAGCGTTTTTTAAAATAATCTGGGCAGGGCACCTGGGTGGCTCAGTGGGTTAAGCCGCTGCCTTCAGCTCAGGTCATGATCTCAGGGTCCTGGAATCGAGTCCCGCATCGGGCTCCCTGCTCAGCAGGGAGCCTGCTTCCCTCTCTCTCTCTCTCTCTCTCTGCCTGCCTCTCTGCCTACTTGTGATCTCTCTCTGTCAAATAAATAAATAAATAAAAATCTTTAAAAAGATAATAATAATTTGGGCAATTCACATGTTGACTATGAGTAGGGGGTAGGCATAGAACAGACATGGGACAGGGGCACCTGGCTGGCTCGGTGGATAGAGCATGTGACTCTTAATCTTGGGTTGTGAGTTCAACCCCATGTTGGGGATAGAGATTACAAAAAAAAAAAAAAAAAAAAAAGAAGAAAGAAAGAAAAACTTAAAAAAATAATAATAATAAATTTAAAAATCTTAAAAACCCTCACCTAAGATATTCATCTGCCAGAAAGGAAATCAGCTTTGCTAGACCATGTTGATGTTTTACCTCCGCTTATTGCTAGCTGCAACTTTGGAAGTACCTACTGACCTCCAGGTACTGAAGTAGGTGTTGTATGTGTACAATTTCTTTTAAGACCACAACAAACTATAAATAAGGCACAGATGAGAAAACTAATCAAAAAAGTTAAATCACTTGTCAGTGGTCCCACTGCTTGTAGGTACCAGTGACTACTTCCATGGGTACAGTGGCCAGAGATGAAAGATGCCTTCTCTAACTGGTGCTTCTCTTGAGTATGAGTAGAAGACAGAATTAATGCCAGATGATCCTAGAAGGGAAGCTGTTGACAGGTCACTCCAAGAAGACCACTTTTGAAGGTGACCAGCCCAGCAACCACATGCACAGACATGGGGGGCATTCAGTACTGGCCCCAAAGCAGAGAGGAAGTATGGGGTTGGGGTGTAGGAGAGAAAAAATAGTGCACGAAAGGTGCTTAGGAAGTACCCTAAAGAAAGCGTAGTTTGTCTGGGAACCGCTCACTGAGACTGGATGGAGGAGGCAGTTACGGCATGTCTGAAACTGCGCCCCACTGATAAAACGAGAGGACGTTTAAAGATGAGAAAGCTGTCATAACTGGAACAATCTATCATAGGGATAGGGAATCTTTGTGGCTGTGTACGTTCAGCCTAATTATTTGACTGACAATGATAAAATGTGCTGGGCTTAACTTGAATAAAATTTCTGCCTTACAAACTTGTTAAATTCAACTTATGGAGGAAGCTCAACGTACTGGGAAACATACAGGATTTGGAATGAGAGGTCTGGATTGGGCTTCATCGCTTATTACTATAATTATTATATTATATAATATATAATATAATTATGTATTAGTTACTATATATTTATATATTATTACTATATATTAATTACTATACTATAATTAATTAATATATACTATATATTAATTATATTAATTATATATTGGTAACTAGTGATTAATTACTAATTATTTATTATTATACTAATACTAAATACTAATTATTATTAATTAATAAATAGTAATTAATACTAGAGAGAATAAAATAGTTACCACTTACTGAGCAATTACTACATGCCAGGCACTGTATGCTATCCCTAGAATACATTTTAAAATTTCATTTCTCCTAAGGACGCCACAAGGATAAATACTATTACTGTTCCCATTTTATAAAGATGGAAATAGAGGGGACACCTGGGTGGCTCAGTGGGTTAAAGCCTCTGCCTTCAGCTCAGGTCATGATCTCAGGGTCCTGGGATTGGGCCCCACATGGGGCTCTCTGCTCAGTGGGGAGCCTGCTTCCCCGCCCCCGCCCGCCTGCCTCTCTGCCTACTTGTGATCTCTCTCTGTCAAAATAAATAAATAAAATTTTTTTAAAAAGATGGAAATAGAGGCATAAGAATGTCACGCAGCCATTAAGTAGCAGAGCTAGAACTGTTTTAATTAACTAATTTTAAATTCGAATTCAATTAATTAACATATAATGCATTATTAGTTTCAGAGGCTGAGATCAGTGATTCATCCTGCTTACCCAGTAAGCAGAGCTAGCACTGAAACCCAAGTTCAAATCACTCATGCCTGGGTGCTTTTGAGCAAGACATTTGATTGCTGTAGACTTTGGTTTCCTTACTTCTAAGGTACAGATAAGAGCATCTGCCCCACAGGAAGTGGGACAGGATAGCATTTTGCTTGGCAACACTAGTTCTTGTGTCAGACAGATGTCGAAAGATGACAATACCCGTAACGTACTAACCACGTCACCTTGAGGTGTTTACTTAGATTCTCTGGGTTTCTATTTCCCCATCAACAAAATAGGTCTAAAAATTGTACCTATCACATTGGATTGCTTTAAAGACTGAAAGCTAAAATGTATCAATCAATAGTGCATTTGGAAGAATAGAAAACCTGACCCACAGTGGCCTAAACATACTGGGTTTTATTTTTCTCACTAAACAATAAGGGTAGGCAACAGCTTCAGTGCCCAGTGATGTTGGGCCAACACCTCTGACATTCCCATGGCCTCTCCCTTGCGCCTTTTGCAACATACTCTCAAGTGGGCTAGTGCCCCTCCAAGCATCTCCTTCAGCTCATGAAGAGGACTCATCAAGACAGCAACGGGTTTGCTAGAAACCTTCCAGCAGACTCCTGCTTGTGTCTTGCTGGCCAGAACCATGACCCATGACCAACCACTGCTCTAAGGGCGGCTGAAAAACAGGAACCCAAAGCCTCTCAATTGGCTTAGACCCAAGTTATCAGAGTTTGGGTAGCAACAAAAACAGAAGTGTATTGGATATTGGGTATGAAACTTACTGTGTTTACCACAACAAAGAAAACATGTAGTAACAGCCTGGCTCAAAGGGCTTCATGATAATGATGAAAATGAGAATAATTATGAGAATATTGCTATTATTAATGATATAGCAATAATGGCTAAAATTTGTTGAGTGGGTACTATGAATCAGGTGCTGTTTTAAGCATTTGGTATGTGTTCATTTATTTAAACCTCCTAACAACCCCAATTTACAGATGAGGAAAGTGAGGTACAAAGGGGTTTAGGGAGTTGCTCAAAGTCACACGGTTAACAAGCAGCACAGCTCATCAGTGTCCACATCTGCACTGTCCAGTATGGGAGCCACTAGCTACATGTGACAACTGAGAACTTGAAATGTGACAAGTACAATCTAAGAATTACATTTTAACTTTTATTTAATTTGAATGAGCTTCAATTTAAACCTAAAAACAGATACTCAATTTACTTATTAGAAACTTTTAAATAAGTTTGGTACACCTTGAGTGTATGAATCTATTTTTTCAACCAAAGTTTTAAAAAGTCTGAAAATTTATCAAGTATTTTTTATTCAAATTGAGAATTCTCGTTCAAATTGAGATACTCTCTAAGTGTAAAATACCCACTGGTTTTTGGAAGCCTTAGAATATACAAAACGAAGTGTGGTGTTTTCTTGATAACTTTTTATATTGATTACATTTGGAAATGATAATATTTGGGATATATTTGGTTAAACAAAATATGAAAATTAATTTCACTGTGTCTTTTTTATTTTTTTAAAGATGTATTTATTTATTATATATAGAGAGAGCACACGAGTGGGAGGAGTAGGAGGTAGGGAGAGAGAATCTGAAGTGGACTCCAGGGCTGGGGGTGCTGGGTCTCACAACTCCGAGATCGTGACCTGAGCCAAAATCAAGAGTTGGTCACTCCAACGACTGAGCCTCCCAGGCACCCCGCTTTTTGCTTTTCTTAATGTTTTTTTAAAATTACAGATGTTGGGGTGCCTGGGTGGCACAGTCAGTTAAGCATTGGACTCTTAGGTTTGGCTAAGGTCCTGATCTCAAGGTCAAGAGATCGAGCCCCACAGAGTCTGCTTCAGATTTTCTCTCCCTATCCCTCTGCCCGTCCCACTTGTGCACTCTCTTTCTAATAAATACATCTTCAGAAATAAAATAAAATTACAGATGTGGTTTGCATTAAATTTCTATTGGGCAATGCTGATCTAGACAACATCTGTCTCATCATTTCTTTCTTTCTGGCATTATCTGTCAGTTTCCATGTATCATTCACTATTTCTGAATTATTTTATTTACCTAACCATGAATATCTGACAGTTTTTAATCAAACCACTTTTGCAACTTGCTTAGTTGTGTTATTATTGATGAAAATAATAAAATGATTAGAAATCTCAAGAAAGGAATGGTTTATGCAATTCTTTTGGAGGAGGGATTTGTAATAACAAACATCATGTTTGAGTGGTGTCTGGGTGGCTCAGTCAGTTAAATGTCAGACTCTTGATTTTGGCTCAGGTCATTATCTCAGGATCATGAGATCAAGCTCCTCATGAAGCCCCTTGATGGGGCTCTGTACTCGGTGAGGAGTCTGCTTCTCTTTCTCTCTCTCTCTCCCCCTCTCTCTAGCCCTCCCCCCATTGGCATGTGCTCTTCCTAAAACAAATAAATAAATCTTAAAAAAAAAAAATCTTGGGGCGCCTGGGTGGCTCAGTGGGTTAAGCCACTGCCTTCGGCTCAGGACATGATCTCAGGGTCCTGGGATCGAGTCCCACGTTGGGCTCTCTGCTCAGCAGGGAGCCTGCTTCCCTCTCTCTCTCTCTCTCTGCCTGCCACTCTGCCTACTTGTGATCTCTCTCTGTCAAATAAATAAATAAAATCTTTAAAAAAATCTTTTTTGAGCATATACACTATGTATAGTTTATATTTTAGAGCATAAAATTAGCCATCTTTCATTTTAACCTCAGTTATTTAAAATTCTTTAAGAATTTTTTTCCTGTGTTTTTAGTTTCTTGGGGAAGTTATTTTGATTTTGCCATTAGTTGGAACAAACATCTTGATGATGAAAATGTTAAGTTCATACTATACGAAGATCTGAAAGAGGTGAGATTATGATTATTGACATTCTATAGAAAAATTTCTTATAAAATAAACATAGAGCACTTACTTTTAATGTCCAGCTGTGTGAATATTGTATTCAATTTAAAGAAAGAATATTCCAGATATGTGGGACAGTGCTAGGGGAAAAAATACAATGTGTAGGGGCTTAGGTTCTTTATTTAACAGAAACAAAGTAATGCTTAGCAACTTATTACTAAGAGGGGCTGCTTTATTTTCCTGCTGAGATAGCAGGAAATGGCAGAAATAATAGGTAGGTTTCAGTTGAGATTTAATTGAACATGCATTTGGCCATGAATTGGATCTTTCCATATGATCTTATTTTTAAAATTGTTTATTCATGAATTGTTATTCATGAGCATTTAGTGAATGAGTGATTAGCATTGTTCTAGGTCCTTGTGATATGTCAGTAAGCAAATCAGTAAGTTCACTGCCCTGGAGAAGCTTACCTTCTAACTGAAGAAGGCAGGGAGAGAGAAAGAGAAATAATAAATATAATATTTTTTTAATGTTTATAATATGTGGGAGAAAAGAAATGGCATAGCTGATTAAGGAAAACTGGAAATGCTAGGTAGCGGTGGGGAATTGGGATGTTGGACAGATCCCAGTATAAATAGGGTAGATCTTTTGAGCAAAGATCTAAAGAAGAGAGGGAGTGAGCCAAGTGGTAACTGGAATAAGAGCTTTCCAGGCATACAGAATCAACTGGAGTGAAGGTCCTGAGGTAGAAGTGTTCCTGGCGTCGTTAAGTGACATGAAGGAGGTGAATGAGGCTGGGTCCTTAGGGGTAAGCCTGAGGAGATTAACCAATGAGAACAGAGGCAACGGAATGAGGTAGAGTGAAGCATGGGAATCATGTGGCAGGCCATTGAAATCCTTTGGCTTTCACTGAGTGAAAGGGGAAGCCACTGCAGAAGTCCAGCAGAAGACTGATAGGAGTTGATGTATTTTTAATAGGTTCATTCTGATTGCTGCATGACAACGTACTAGAGAGAAGCAAAGACAGTGTAGCGAAACCATGAGGAGAGTACTGCAGTAGTCCAAGCAAAGGAAGATGGTGGCTCAGGCCAGAAGGGGCAGTGGCAGTGATAAGTGGTTGAATTCTAAATATATGTTGGAGAAGAGCTAATAGGATTTGTTTCTAGACTACACAGGAGAAAGAGTGGAGAGAAAAAGAGAAATCAGATAAGACTCCAATATTATTGGCTTGACCAACTGAGAGGATTGAGTTGTCCTCATTTGAGTAGGAGATGCCAGCAGGTGAAAGCGGGATAGTGGGAGAGATCAGGGTTTTGGTGATAGCTTAGTCTGAGATGCTTATCAGTCATCCAAATGGAGAGGTCAGGTAGGCAATTGGGTATAAAAGTCTTGAATGAAGAGAGTTCTGGGCTGTACATCTAAATTTGGCACATGGATGGTATTAAAGCCGTGAGATTACATACCCATGTATGTATGTATACAGATGGAAAAGAGAAGAAGACCAAGTACTGAGCCCTGGAGTTCCCCATAGAGAGAGCTTGGGAAACAGGAAGAATCAGCAAAGGAGAAAGAGGAGGGGCTACTGAGTTAGAGGGGAAGCCAGGGTCCCGGAAGTCCAGTGAAGAAAGTATGTTTAAAGAAGGGAGTGTGTCAGATGCCTCCTAGTGGAAGTGAGTTCTTAACACCAGTCTCCCCTGACATTCTTATCAAAGGAAAGTATCACTGAACCAGTCCCTTCGGTTGATAGAGTGCATCTATGGAACATGAAAGAACATACCAATTTAGTCTGTTCTCCTTCTAGAACAGACTCCTTCTAGAATAATGTCTCTAAAACTTGTGTTCTGTGGAATGTCAGTGTTGCCCAGATGTTAATAATTCTTGCTTAGAGTTCAAACTGATTTGGAAACTGTTAGACCTCTGGGACATTTATGTTGCAAGCTGGCATAGTAAAGATTGGGAGATCCTATAGGAAAAGCAAGCAAACAAAAAGGTTATCTTTTTTTAACCGAAAGGATTCCAAACTTATTGGACCTCAGCTCTTCAACCTCCTTTTTTTTTTTTTCATGAAACATCTATAACTACCTTAAAGTAAATTAGTGTTCTGTAGAATACAGTTTAAGAAACTGTCCTAGGAGATTCATGAATCTTCATTGGTCAGCAATACTGTTGAGGGGGTTCATGATTTACAAGTGTATTTAGACAAGATACATTTCAAGACTCCCTCTAGTTTTTATAATTCTAAAAATTAGACTTTCCTGATGGAATTAAACATAGGATTAAAAGAAAAGAGAATTGGAATGATCACGTGCAATTACATTAATTTCCTCACCTCTTCTAGACGGGTGCTTTCTAGTAAAGTGAATATCACCTAGATTCTTACCTTCTACTTAATGCTTACTATCATTATTTATATCCTGAAGAGTTCAGGAAGAGTCATACATTGAAACTACAAAGGATGGGGCTCCTGGGTGGCTCAGTGGGTTAAGCTTTTGCCTTTGGCTCAGGTCAAGATCTTGGGGTCCTGGGATCGAGCTCCGCATCGGGCTCTCTGCTCAGCGGGGAGCCTGCTTCCCCCACCCCCTCTGCCTGCCTCTCTGCCTACTTGTGATTTCTCTCTCTCTGTCAAAAAAATAAATAAAATCTTAAAAAAAAAAGAAACTACAAAGGAAAATCGATACGGAATATGATGTAAGGCTATCTTGAATATTGATACAGAAGTAACAGAAGTCTAAAGATCGTGAGATAAAAAGATGAGTTAGAGTGCTAAGCTTAATCTATTCTGGCTAAGAAGCCTGTTTTTGCTATGGCACAATTCCCATAGAAGGAAATTTATCCCTGAAAATTTTGTTTTCAGAACCTGGCTGCTGGAATAAAACAAATTGCTGAGTTCTTTGGATTCTCTTTAACGGGGGAGCAGATTCAAACCATCTCAGCCCAGAGTACCTTCCAAGTAATGAGAACCAAGTCCCAGGAAACACATGGTGCTGTTGGTCCGTTTCTGTTCCGCAAAGGTAAAGCCACACTGGTTTCTGGGACACGGGTCAATCTGCATGTTACAGGAAATCCACATCACTAGACCTTAAGTTAAGACAGGATTTCCTTTTTCTCTCCCAACAAGAAGTTTGACACAGTCAGTTCAGAACTAGACTGGCACGTCCAAAATATCTAAAATCTCTTAGTGTACTCAGTTCCTTCTGCCTTTCTGCTTGTCACTTTGTGATGGCAAGACAGAAGCCATTACATTAAATTAAAGGATTGTTTTATTAAAATAAAAAGGGAGTAGCAAGAGGCAGAGAATCATGTACACCTCATTGGCCACCTCTGGCAGCACTGTTGGCTGGGAACTGTGATTTTTTTTTTTTTTTTAGGTGGGCACATTATTACCAAATTAAAATCAGGGTTTTGTTAATAAGAAGGGAGGAGATAATGAGTATTGGATAAGCAACTAGCTATCTCTGTCAGTTGAAGATTTTACTAAATTTCGTTAAAGCATTCTAATTTCTTATGGAAATTCATGGTAATACAGCTAAGGGATTACCAGGTCCTTTTATTGCATATATAATGAAAGTATAAGGTGACTTAGAGGCAACACATATCACAATGACAACTGTCATTTATCAGGCATCTACCATCTGTTAGACCTTTTGCTGGGCATAAATTTTATAGCAAAAAAAAAAGATATTAATTCCTTAATTTTACAAATGTGGGCATCAAAACTCAGGGATATTAATTTGTCCATTGTCACAAAGCTAATGATCAGTGGAATCAGGATTTGAATGTATATTTACTTGACTCTACTATACTTTATCAAATGAAGATCCATTTAAAATCCCCACTGTGAATGGAACATTGAATATAAATCTGACTTTGATTTGATTCCTGACATTATTCTTGATTTTTATGCCTTGTTTGATAAACTATAAAGGAGGGGGAAAAATAGAACGTTTCTGTACATTGTTAATCAAGCACTATTCAGAACAGAAAAATTCTAAAATAAAGTAATAATTTAAAAATTTTATAATAGTCTTTGTAGAAAATTCAGAAAGCACAGGAAAAGTTGAAAAAGCATTAAAAATTATCCACATTTCTTCCGCCAGAGGCATGTTTAACTTTTTTAGCATATTTCTTCCGGCCTTACTCTGTGATCTTTTATGTAGTGGATGACATTTGTAAATAGTTTTGTGTTTTACGTTAATCCCTTCATATATTTAAGCATTTCCTCCTGTCATCAAATCCTCTATAAATATACATTTCAAATGGCTATGCAACAAGGAACTTACACCTTCAACCCAAATCACCAAAAGATTCTAAAGAAAGAAGTAACTTCCTTCACTTTTAAGAGCAAAAAGAAAACATATCCTAATCTCAGGCAAAATAACTTCCTGCAAAATTTTCAATAATATGAGGTTTTCACAAAATCCTGCTGGAAACTGATAACTTCTCAAGGGTTAAAGTATTTAAAAGACTTTACGGAGGAAAAAAAAATGACTCTCAAAAAGTGGAAATTTAGGTCTCAAAGTTTGAGATGGGGGGGTGTTGGAGGGGGGAATAGGAGCTCTCTGAAGCCTATCGTCCCCTCAGTGATGTAAAGAGCAAATCACCTCCCATGCCACAGATGGGGAATCCCCAGTGAATATCGTTAATTTTACAAGAGTCTACATTCATTCTTAAGACTAATTTTCTTGGGGTGCCTGGGAAGCTCAGTGGGTTAAGCCTCTGCCTGCAGCTCAGGTCATGGTCTCAGGTCATGGTCTCAGGGTCCTGGGATGGAGCCCTGCAGGGGACTTTCTGCTCAGCGGGGAGCCTGCTTCCCCCCTCTCTCTCTGCCTGCCTCTCTGCCTACTTGTGATCTCTATCTCTGTCAAAAAAACAAACAAAAAACAAAACAAAACAAAAAAACTTAAAAAAAATCTTAAAAAAAAAAGACCAATTTTCTTCATGTGTCCATTTTCACATTTCAGAGTGAAATGCTGCACTGAAAAATGGTAAAATTTTTTTTTAGGAAATAGGGGTGGGGGATGGGCAAAAGGGGTGAAGGGGCGTGGGAGGTACACTTCTCCTGTTATGGGATAAATAAGCCACAAGAATAAAAGGCAAAGAAAGCATTAGGAATGCAGTCAGTGGTGTTGTAATGGTGTTGTATACAGGTGACAAGGGGATCTATACATGTGGTGAGAAGGGCATAACTTAGAGAGTTGTTGAACCAATGTGTGATACACCTGAAACTAATGTAACACTGTGTGTCACTATACCTAAATAAAAATAAAAATAAAATAAAATAAGAAAGAAGCTAAAAAAAAATCAGGAAGAAATACTTTTTTTTTTTTTTAAGATTTATTTATTTACTTGGCAGACAGAGATCACAAGTGGGCAGAGGGGCAGGCAGAGAGAGAGGAGGAAGCAGGCTCCCCGCTGAGCAGAGAGCCAGATGCGGCTGGATCCCAGGACTCTGGGATCATGACCTGAGCCAAAGGCAGAGGCCCTAACCCACTGAGCCACCCAGGCTCCCCAGGAAGAAATATTCTAACAGATATCTGGATCTGTTGTTTTTTGTGTGTTGCAGGTGAAGTTGGTGACTGGAAGAGTTTGTTCAGTGAAACTCAGAACCAGGAAATGGATGCAAAATTCAAAGAGTGCTTAGCAGGCACTTCCTTAGGAGCAAAGCTGAAGTATGAATCCTATTGCCAAGCTTGATTTCTGGTTAATGCAGCAGGCGTGGATATTTTATTTTCCTGAATAATAATTAAATTTAAATAATGAAATAGGTTGATCAAATAACCAAATAATGATTATTCAATAACATTTAGATATAAATAGCATGAAATTAATAATACTGAGAACATTTGAAGTTTTTAAACTCAGACTTGTTTGCTCACTTTTGGAGGAAAGGCCATTTAGCTGTCCAGAGGGGACACTCTTGTTCATGGGGGATTTTCACTTCTTTCATGCTCTGGGTTCACCCAAGAGCATAAGCAGATACTATCAGTAACATGCCTAAGTCAGTGTTTGAGTGTACACGAGACAGCCCTCCCAATGAAGCATAATTTTTTGTCTTCTCAGAATAATTCCTCTGTCTCTCACTGTGCATCAAAGCACTTCTGGTGGCTATCTCAAACTTACTGTTGGGGAAAATGTAATTCCAACTCGGCACTGAAGTCAGGTGACTCAATCTGTCCTTATATAATTCAAGGAAAATACATTGCTCATCTACTCTGTGCATGCCCCTGCAGGAGGCCCTAAACTATTCCTGGAAGTATGGTGGATTACATAAACTGAAAACCCTTCCTTCAGAACACCAAGAAAGGCTGGATAAAAATTCTTAAAAATTCTTTTAGGTGATGAGGGCACCTGGGTGGCTCAGTTGGTTAAGCGTCTGCCTTCAGCTCAGGTAGTAATCCCAGGGTCCTGGGATCAAGTCCTGCATCGGGCTCTCTGCTTAGGGTGGAGCCTGCTTCTCCCTCTGCCTGCTGCTCCCCCTGCTTGTAATCTCTCTCTCTGTCAAATAAATTTAAAAAGTCTTAAAAAAAAAAAAAAAGAATCCTCCTCTCCTCTGCTTTCTACTGTAAACCAGTTTGTGTTTGATTTTATGTTTATTACATCAAAAGCATCCTACCTGATCTAATATTCTAAAAACCACATCTTGGTAAAAAAAAAAAAAAAAAGAAGTCACTTCAATCACTAATTTATTCAATAAATACTTATCGAGTGCCTACTATGTGAAGCCCTGTACTGGAAATGCAATGTTGAGCAAAAACCACACTGTGTCCTTAAGTGTCTAAATAGAAATGAGTTTCTTTAAAAAAAAAAAAAAAAAAAAAAAAAGATTTATTTGTTTATGGGGGGGGCAGGGGCGAAGGAAGAGGGAAAGAGAGAATCTCAAGCAGACTTCCCGCTGAGGGAGGCCCTCACCTCGGATCTCATGACTCATGCGATCATGACCTGAGCTGAAACCAAGAGTCAGACACCCAACCAACTGAGTCAGCCAGGCACTCCCCTCATTTATTTTTTTTATAGATTTATTTATTTATTTATTTATGAGAGAGAGAGCGTAGGGGTACCTGGGTGGCTCAGTGGGTTAAAGCCTCTGCCTTTGGCTCAGGTCATGGTCCTGGGGTCCTGGGATTGAGCCCCACATCGGGTTCTCTGCTCCGCAGGGAGCCTGCTTCCCCCTCTCACTGTCTGCCTGCCTCTCTGCCTACTTGTGATCTCTGTCTGTCAAGTGAATAAATAAAATCTTTTAAAAAGAGAGAGAGAGAGAGAGAGCCAGAGAAGGAGACAGAATCTTAAACAGACTCCCCACTTAGCACAAAGCCTGACACAGGGCTCAATCCCACGACCCTGAGAGCATGACCCAAGCCCAAACCAAGAGTCAGCCACTTAACTGACCGCACTGGCCTTCTTTCAGCGGACTGGTCTGGGATGTGTCTGGATCAGGTGAGGCTTGATCCAGAGCTCAGCCAAGGACCTGATTCTTAATCTTCACTTCTCAACTCTACTCTCTCAGTGTAGGCTCCATCTCCAAGGAGGTTTCTCCTTGTGCAGTACTGGAAACACAAACCACTGTAAGGATGTCGAGCATAAGGAGGCAGTAGGAAACAAAGGCGTGTGTGTTGAAAGGGATGGCAGAATGGAAACCAGGAGACTTCTACTGTATCTGCCATCCAGACCTACTTGTAGACTTCGTCAACTTTTAAATCTCTTCCCCATTCATAATCTGATATTGATTCTCTTCACTCTCATTCATTCTTTAATTTATTAAACAAATATTTATTGAGCGTCACCTAGGTGTCTGGGCATGGGAAGAGCTGGAGTCCAGCGGTTAAGACAGCAGGCTGGGTTTATAGCAGCGGAAGTCTAAAGAGTAGCAACCTCTGGTTTTTAGCTCTTCTTCCTGCCTGGCGTGGAGAAATTGGTCATCTAAGTGTCAGGTTTCCTAAAATCAGAGCGTCCAGAACCTCATAGGGCTGTTGGCAGGATCCAGTGAGATAATGTTGGGGAATGTCTTTATAA